AATTAAACCTATTACTGGGCCAACCCATGATAAACACACAAGAGAGCAACAGCAAGAGAAAATGACCACCAGAACAAATTAGAATTTTTGCCAAACAACCGTAGAACAAGGCTAGCTACAATTGAACTATTACAGATTTTAGGAGAGTAGAACTCTAGAAGAAAGAATTTGTAAGTAGTATACCATTTGAGGGCGAAAATAGAAATAAAATTACATTAGTACTAGAATATTTTGAGAGTAAAGTAAACCAAGCACAAAATCCCAGCCTTTCTACAAACTCTAGTTTTAACAAACTCATATTTTTATTTTAAAAGATTATAAAAAAAATTAATGATTTAAATAATAATAATCAATCGTTTTTCTCTAATATTTCTTCTAAAAAATAACTTCCTTTCGATTTTAATAATTATATTAAATCATAACCTTGATAATTCATAAATTCTCCTTTAAGAATCAGAGCTCCTTTTGCTTAAATTTTTCTAATTTAGGAAATTTATAGATTGGGAAAGAGGCTTCTTTATGAATAATTATAATAAAAATCTTTAACAAGAGGATTGTTAGAATTTAAAGGTATATCAAATTATGCAATAAGAGCTTGATAATTTTTATCTTAAGATTCTATTTCAAATCCTGTTTTAACATCCCATAAACGAATCGTATTATTCCAACTTTGAGAAGCTAAAGTATTTCTATCTTGCGAAAAGCATATCGGCCAGAGATCATTATCATGATTCTCCAGAAAGACTTTTTATAATCCTGTCTTAACATCCCATAAAAGGATAGACTTATCTTCACTACCAGAAGCTAATATAGTTCCATCAGGGGAGAAGCATATAGAAAGGACATAATTAGAGTGACCCTCCAGTCTGGCTTTTAATTATCCTCTCTACAAGTCCCACAAACAGATAGAGTTATCATAACTACCAGATGCTAATATAGATCCGTCTGGTGAATAGCATACCGAAATAACATAATGAGTATGACCGTCAAATTTAGCTTTTTATAATCCTGTCTTAACATCCCATAAAAGGATAGACTTATCTACACTACCAGAAGCTAATGTAGTGCCATCTGGTGAGAAGCATACAGAGAGGACATAATTAGAGTGGCCATTTATTAGAGCTTATAATTATCCTGTCTGCACATTCCATAAACGGATAGAGTTATCGTTACTACCAGATGCTAATGTAGTTCCATCTGGTGAAAAGCATACAGATCTGACGTAATCACTATGACCATTCATTTTAACTTTTTATTAACCAGTCTTAACGTCCCATATACAAATAGATTTATCGCTACTACCTGATGCTAATTTAGTTCCATCTGGTGAGAAGCATACTGATAGAACAAAACCAACATGACCATTTAAATAACCTTTTTATTAACCTATCTAAACATCCCATAAACATATAGAGTTATCATAACTACCAGATGCTAATGTAGTTCCATCTGGTGAAAAGCATACAGATCTGACGTAATCACTATGACCATTCATTTTAATTTTTTATAAACCAGTCTAAACATCCCATAGACAAATAGATTTATCGCTACTACCTGATGCTAATTTAGTTCCATCTGGTGAGAAGCATATCGACCATACAGTATTGTTTTGGCCATCCAGTTTGACCATTTATTATCCTATTTAAGCATCCCATAGGCAGATAGACTAATCAAAACTACCAGATGCTAATATAGTTCCATCTGGTGAATAACATATTGATCGTACATAATCAATATGACCATCAATTTCTCCTCTTTGTTATCCTGTCTTAGCATCCCATATACGGATAGACTTATCTATACCACAAGATGCTAAAGTATCTCCTTTTGGTGAGAAGCAAACTGAGTTGACATAATTAGTATGACCGACCAATTTGACTTTTTATTCTCCGGTCTCAACATTCGTTAAACAAATAGACTTATCTCCACTGCCAGAAGCTAATGTAATTCCATCAGGTGAAAAGCACACTGAGAAAACAGAATTACTATGATCATTCCATTTCGCTCTTTATTAACCTGTCTTCACATCCCATAAACAAATAGACTCATCTCCACTACCAGAAGCTAATGTAGTTCCATCAGGTGAAAAGCATACTGAGAAAACAGAATTACTATGACCATCCCATTTCGCTATTTATTAACCTGTCTTCACATCCCATAAACGAATAGACTTATCTCCACTGCCAGAAGCTAATTTAGTTCCATCAGGTGAATAGCATACTGAGAAAACAGAATTACTACGACCATTCCATTTCGCTCTTTATTAACCTGTCTTCACATTCCATAAACAAATAGATTTATCTCCACTGCCAGAAGCTAATGAAGTTCCATCAGGTGAAAAGCATACTGAGAAAACAGAATTACTATGACCATCCCATTTCGCTATTTATTAACCTGTCTTCACATCCCATAAACGAATCGACTTATCTCCACTGCCAGAAGCTAATTTTGTTCCATCAGGTGAAATACATACTGAGTTCACATAACTATTTAAATTTAATGTGTTCAATTCATTAATTTAAATGTTCTTCCACTAACAATTTAGCAGTAGAGCTCCATTAAAATTGACGCCACTAATGTCTACATTTTCAAGCTCAGATCCACTAAAGTTACATCCGACAAAATTTCCATCAGTTAAAGCAGTATTCTTGATCTTAATATTCTCTAAGCATTGATTTTTCAGATCTACTTTCATACTTACCAATAAATTAAATGCATTAGAGCCACTCTATATAAATTGGTTATCTATTGCTGTAAGTTGAACTAAAAACTTTAGAAAATTAATGAAATTCTTATTACTTTCTAGATTCATTATTAAGTTGAGCCTATCTTTTTCATAGGCTTCGTTTGTATAGTCATGTTTACTAAATTGGTGTTCTAAAATATTCCTTAAAGCATAAGCGATATTCATAATTTTTCTTTTAACATCATCAATTGTCTATTACTAATTGACAAATGATCCATAAATTTGTGGATTTAATGGCTTCGATATAAATCCAATAATATTTTAAATTTTCTCTTTTCTCACTATATCAATTATTCCCTTAAATATTGATTCATCAATATCCCAAATAGAATTTAAAATTTGGCATAGATCTTCCTTCCTCACATATGGTTAATTACAGCCTTCAATCCTAGAATAAGATTTTAAAACTTACTAAGTTAATATTTGCTAAATCTTTTCCATTTTTTCATTCGACTTTTCAACTAAAACCTAAATTTCTTTTTCCCACAAATAAATTATCTATTTTAATTCCATCAAATATTAAGTCTTCTAAAAACACCAATCATTTAATTTTGGTCCATCTACAATGGAGACTAATTATTCTAGTTCAGTAATGGAGGATTCTATAGGATTTAAGCTAATTAAATTGATATATGAATTATTTTCCTTTTCAATAATTTCAAATATTTAATTGATTGATTCATATAAAACATCCCAAATATTTTTTAGTGTATTTTGAGTTTATGAGAGGATGGATTTAAAAGCCAGCTTTTATTGGATTAATTCTTCATTCTGATCAGCATTTAAGTCTTGTAATTTTTTTTAAGCCTTTTCTTGAAAATTGTCAATTGGTATTGTTTGTTTGAGATCTACTCCATGAGCATAAAGGCATTTAAAACACAATTTTCTTTAAAATTAGCATTTGTGAGGTGAAATACATACTGAAATAATTGGACATAGATTATGATATTGGCAATTCATCTTTTATAAAAAATATTGAATTTCTATTATATTATGCACTAAAGACTAAATAATTCAAAATATAAAATATTGAATTTCATTGATGTTATGATAAAATTAGTAAATTTTAAATCATTTAAACATTTAGTAGGTTAAAAATAAATAAATGATAGACTCATTTGATTTTAGATTGCTTTGAATTAAATTTTTATTCCTTCTCACAATAAATTTAATTTAACTCTTTTTTAATTGTTTTTCAATTTCGATACCAAAATTCCTGATTATTTTTTATCACTACTACACAATTTTTTCAGAATAAAAACACTTGATTGGTTTTACAAACCATTTAACACAAGCAAGCCTTGGATGTGGAAGTATAAGTCTATGTGTTAATTTTTTTTGAATTATATGGGCTAAAAGGCTAATTCTTTTATCCTAATTGAATTTAATTTTGAAAATAATAAACTAACAAATTTTATTTTAACTGCTATGCATTTTCAATCCAAAGAAAACTATCTTGTGAATAGTTTCTTAAATTTTTCATTTTAAAATGTTCGTAAAATATATTCTTTTTTTATTGATGAAAAAAAAATAATAGATTGATTCGACTTCACCCTTTATCAAAATAACAAACTATAGAGAAACAAAATTTGTTCATATTTTTTTATGAAAAGTCTTGAACATAAGCTCAAAATGTAAATTTGATTAGAATGAGGAAAAAATATTTTAATAAATAGTTTTGCAAATAAATGGAAAATGAAGCGTTTTAGAAAAGATGTTGTGTAAATATTAAGTGTCCCCATTGCGAAAAAGATATTAAAACAAATGTAGACCATGAATGTGGAGTCAATACATGGCTAATTTGTTTCTTTTTGTGTGTTTTGACTGCGTATATAGATTATAAGATAAGAATAGATGTTGTTGTTTTATACCTTTATTGAGTAATAAATTCAAAGATATCATTCACACATGTCCTTATTGTAAAAATGAAGTCGGTATTAATGAATTTGAAATTTGCTGATATTTGATTATGATTTCTGTATTTCTTATTTCACTTTTATTGTTAACATTTTCTTTTGCTAAGTAATGAATATAATTCATTAGATTTCGAATTTTTCATACAATAATGCTCATATAAATCAAAAAAAAAGGTACAATTTTGAAATTTAATGTTTTAGACTTAAAACTTCATATAAAATTTTAAAGCAAGATAATTATTTTAGGGAATTAAATTGCATAAGGTATACTATTATAAAAAAATCCAGCAGATTTTTTTTAGGTAACAAGAAGAAAAAAAATCCTAAAATGCACTTTTTGAATGGCCTAAAGATACTTTTAACTCATAGAAGTTCTTCAGTGTTTAACTTTCCTAATTTAAAAAATAGTATTATTGCTATTTTATTTAGCCTAAAAAATGCGCTTATAGATTAATTAAAATACATGATAATAAAAGTTCAGTTAAAAATTTTTTTAAGCTATTATAAGCATATATTTAAGGACATAAAGTTTATCATCAAAGCATAGTGAATTACCAATCATCTGATAAAAAAATTATCTCGCAGAATCCCAGCCACAGCTATATCACTAAAGTTTTGAAGAGTATTTTAGGAGAGGGGAATAATATAAAAAATATTGTTGCTTTTCAATAATAATCTGAAGATTTTTATTATTTTCATTTTACCAATAAAGAGAATAGCACACAGTTAAAACTATTTATTATAATCATTGATAAGTTAAATAATTGAATTTGATGATCTTCTTTATACCATAGAGTCATTGGTTTGAATTAAAATTATTAATGAATAAAATATATTATAATTAATTATAATGAAGGATTAGTTGAATGATTGGGATTTCTGCAATCCAAATAATTATATTGATAAATTGCCTGAGCCTTATAGGTATGATGATATTTAGCATCAAGATTCATTAATAAAATTGTCTAAAAAGACATTCTTTTAGAAGTTTATTCTAAAGTTTTCTTAATTGAGAAATACAGATCTGATCCAAATTATGAAGGACCTTTAAGAACCTTGCCTCCTTAGGGAATTTTCGACATTTCAAATATTACTACTCTAAGCTCAAACAGTTCAAACTAGTAAATTGCTGCAGGAGATTTGCAAGGGAATATTTTTATTTTAGATATGAGTAAGAAAACAAAAACTTGTAAAAAAGAGGTGGGGCAAAAAAGGATAAATAAAGTTTGTTTGGGAATTAGAGAAGGTGCTTCAGATGATTAAAAAAATGTTTGCATGTAACAGTTTTAGGCATTTTTAGAATAGGAGTTATAAGCCATTTAGATCCAGTAGTGCAAATATTCAAATATAAACCAGGAGAGAATAAAATAAGTTAAATTCATTTTATTTAAATCACAAAAAATACAACTTAGATCGGTGAACTACCTATGGATATTGAAATCAGCAAATATTCACAATATATATTAATCACATAATATAATGGTTGTTTGTTAATATATAAAATACCAGAAATCAAGATTGAATCATAATTAGTAGGCTAGACAACTCAAATATAAAATTAAAATACTCTATTACCACCTCTAATTAATCAAAAATAAACTTAATCAAAAGATTAGTTAAAAGTGATAATCCCTACAAATTCTTACAATGATATCGTCGCAACTGAGATTACTGAACCTTTCTATCAGATTAAATTTTCAGGTTTAAAGAGAGAATATAAATTTAACGAGATAATTAATTCATTCAAAGAGTAAAATGTTCCAAAAGAAATTGAAGTTAAAGACGATAAAAAAAAATAGCAAACTAATACTCAATAATAAAAGAAATAAGAAGCTCAATAAGTAAAAGAAGAATTAGGCTTAGAAGAGAATAACAACTAATTAATTATAAAACATTAAATTAAAGATGGTTATGATATAAGTGAAGAATATCCTGCATAAAAATTTAAACCGTATTTTGCTTTTCTATAAGAGGTAGTAAATGTGTAAAATGGTTCCAAAACATTTGATAAAGTAAGATTTTTATATATTTTAGTACAAATAATATGAAGTTGTTGTTGGTATAGTGGTTGGATGGTCAAATACAACAAGACTAGAGCTTCATTATTTTAATTAACCGAAAAAAAATAATTTGCCATAATACATCATCACATAGTTGACTTTAGAAAAAGAAATTAAATTACAGTTGCCAATAATAAAAAAAAATGAAGTTAAGTTTATTGAGATTCCATTAATTTATCCAATATCTTGTATAGCTATCTCAAAAAACAATTCATTATTAGGTTTAGGCTTGTAATAAGGTTCTATTTTAATATATGATTTGGTTTTCTAATCTGAAAGGTTTTATCTTGATAAACATTAATCTATTGTGAGTCATATTGAATTTTGTGAGAATGAAAGATTGGTGAGTTGTTCTTATGATGGCAGTGTCCATATATATAATACAGCCGAAGGAACTACTTTATGTAAAAGAACAAATTAATTTCGCAAAGGAACAAAAGTAAATTATGAGGAATAGAAGCAAGGATTATGGAGAATAATATCCTTAGCTATAAGTAGCTCTGGAATAGCAGTTGTTTAAGATGCAGAATAAGAAGTAAGATTGTATGATGTGTGGAGAGGAGAAAAAATTGCAAAATTATCTCCAATCTAAGTAATGGATGATTAAAAAAGAAAATGGAGTGATTAAAAAGTTATTTTAAAATGTTTTAGAAGTATCATTTAAACTTAAATAATTAGATGAAATTTTAATTTCTGCTTAAGTTATTGCCCAAGAGTAACTAAATTGCTTGGATTAAACTCAAACAACAATACAAATTTTTAAGATTTTTGATAGTCTAGTAAATTTATTTCCCTCATTATCAAATGTTTATAGAAAAGGAGTGGAAAAAGATAAAATTTTGAACTTGTTTGAAAAAATTCCAAAAAAAGAATTATGGAATGCTTAATTTGAAGTGCCAAATTTAAGTGCCTCTTAAAATGTTGCGCTAAAAGTTCCTGGCTAAGATTCAAAAACCAGAAATGGTTCTTAAATCTTACATAATTAGAGCTAAAATGGCTAGCTGTAATTATTTTTTTTAATTAGTAGAAAAATGAGTTAAAGTAAAACTTCATAATAAAAACTCAAAGAAGGCATGAAAGATTCTTAAATGGCAAATTAATAATAAGATTTTTATGAAAATAGATCTGCTTCTTTAGTAGGTTCTTTACATAAATCAATACATTCAGATAAATTCGATTACAATTCCTCCTTCAGGAGTACAAATTCACCTTAAAATAACTTGAATTCTCAAAAGATTTTAAAGGGTAGTTCTACTCAAAAAGGTTTAACAAAGGAAATGCTTCATCCAGAAGAGCATTTATTAGAAAAATCTGAATTGTAACTTGCTTAATTGATTTTTGAAAATTCTTCAATGGTTGAACATTGTAGATTGAGAAATTCAGAAAAACAATTGAGATCTGAGAAGGTTACTTAATCTCTTCTAAAACTTGGTCAAAAGCTTGCCATAGAAGATGAAAAAATGAAACTTTAAATTAGATACAGATAACTTTAAAGAGCTAAATGATGCACCTATATTGTTATGAAAAATTAAATCATAATATCAAATCTAAAAAAATATAGCTGCTTGCTAATAATAATTTTTAAAATGTTTACTTTTATTAATTCATGATTTTTGGATACACTTTATTAAAATTCTACCTAATTCATTAAATCAAAATTATGCTTTTGAAAATGTTATCTGAGTTGAACTATTATCTAATAATTAAACTCTTCATATGGAATTTTTCTTGGATCTACTATAGAATTCGTTTAAATGATATTAAATAATCGATTTATTATCCTTTTCTCGGTATTCTTTAAAAAGGTACTTAAAGAATTTTCTATTTAAGCCGAAGTAAATGGATTATCATTTTAAATTTGACATTCTTCAAAATATGAATTATTTTCATAATCTGAATACTTATTTTATAATCTAAATTCTTAATCAATTCTATCTTCATATTATAAAATCGATATCTTGGTTTCTTTTTTTGAAAAAAAACTTTCAAATTATTTACAATTATTGATCGTATAAGTTTATTTTTTTTTCTAATTTTGCTGTTTCTGAACGTCAATAGACTACTATTTAGTTAAAGGACTTTTGCTGTAGCGAGCACCATTAATTTGAAATATATTATTTTTCTATTATGAATTTACATCATGTAATTGTTTACTTTTCATTTCATTTTCCAGTTGTATTTATTTAAAGGGGAATTTCTCAGCTCTAGCTCTGATAGTAACATTTTATCTTTCTATATTTTGCTTCTCAAAAGTTTAAAACTTAATTAAACCATTTTTATGTAAATGTTTTTATTTATTATCTTTATTTTAAGCAAATATAACTTCATTGTCTTTATTTTAGATTTAATCACAGTTTTTTACTAATTCCTCATTGATCTTATGATCATAAATTAACATTTGAGAAATAATATTTTATCTCAGAGGCTCTGTATATTCTTTATTTAAATTATTATCAGAAACAAACTTTTTTGCTAAGATATCAGGACAAGAATCCTCAAATATATCAATACAACTATACTAACCTGGATCTAGCTTTATGGTTAATTTGATTAAAGCTTCTCTACAAATTTGACCTTAGGAGACTTAACTAGTTAGATTTAACTTCATTGAGGAAAAGTTGTTCATTAACGAATACTTATTATAAATTATTATATTTTAAACTGTGATAAAACTAATCATAAAATAAGTTATTTTATTTTAATCATCCAACCTATTCTTATATGTCATTTAAAATTTAGAGTACTTTTTCGCTTTATAATTTAATTCCATCAATCTAATATATAAGTATTTTTTACTCTTTATTATAAGTTAGAGATTTTTTTTTCTTCAATCATCTACTAGTCCTCAAGTTCTTCTTAAAGTTCTAGAGATTACCCAATAGGAAACCAGGAATTGTCTTAGTTTTTTCTTTTATTTGCGATATATGTTTCTATTCCATTATATTCACTCTTATTTTTATTGTCCATGTATGCCATATAAAAGACATAATTCCACATATAATGGCTTTATTTAGTATGCTAATTAAAACCATCATCAGATTTCATGTCAAATATTTCTCTATCAAGTCCACAAATAAAACAAATATTTTCTTTATCATCTTCTTTAGCTAATTATTGCTCTCTCAATTCGCCAAATGTATCAATAATAATTCCTGAAAATATTTAAATGCTAATCATCTGAATAAGGATATTATTCAATTAATCAAAAAAAAATCTCCCATAACTATAATCTGCAGGATCTTATGGAAAATTACCATCAAACCAACCACCAATTCCACCATTATTCTTAAATGCATAATCGAATGTCGAAAGAAAACAAACCAATAAAGAATCACATTTTCCTAAATAAATATGATAGATGTACCATTTGTATATATATCATAAAATAATAAATATGCCATTAAGGTAAAGTAATAATTCATTAGTAAAACTAAAATAAATGTCAAACCTAAAGCTACTTTTGGTTCCCAAAAAGATTTAATAATATTTCTTAGAGTAGGATATCTTAAAACAACCTCACTTAAATGAAAAGCAAAAAAGAAAGGATGAAATAATGTAGCAATAAAAGCTAGAACACCATATGTCAAATAATAAATCATATCAATATTTAATAGCACTTTAACTAAACAAAAGCCAACCATGTATAATTTTAAAAAGAATTTAATAATCCAAATTTAATCTTCTTTTATTAAATCCTTACTTTGATTCCATGCTTCCTTAACATATAATGGTCCCTTCTTTAAAATAAAAAAAGAAACAACAAAGCATGAACAAACTATCATACCAATTCCACAATATCTAAAAATTGACATTGTTTCCTCAACAGAGAGCATTTTTAAAAATTTTGGGGAATTTAACCTATCATAGAATCGTTAGTCTGGATCATCTGAATCCCCTTCATAGTATGATAAGACTATAAAGACATTTAAAACTAAAGTCAATAAAAAACACAAATCTTTCCATAGAATAACATACTTTGCAAATAATGCAACAAATTTATTTTAATTAAAAAATTGTGTAAGCTCTTCTTCGTGTTTGGCTACATCCATAAAGTTTGGCATATTTTCAACTAAAGCACTAACTTTAGAATTGGTAGAATCTCTATCTACAGTTTCATGAAATTCAGTTTTTGTTTCTTGAGGTAAATAGTTACAAAAAGATAATTTATAGAAGATAATTTTTTCTAACTATTAATCTCTGATAACTTCAACAGTAGCAGAATTTTTTTAAAAAAACATAATGCTATCATTAAATAACTGTTATGCTGCTAATTTTTTAGCTGTCTTTCGTTTTTCTTCTTCTTCTGCACTTTCTTTTCCCTTAAATTGTTTCATTAATTATTATTAAGCATATTCTCGCCATTCATTTATCATTTCTAATATACCTCCAACTAATGAAAACACCAAGCTTGCCAATTATCCTATTAGAGAATTTTATAACTAAGCCCATGGGTCTTCTTTCTCAGAGTTTTTTTAACTTTCCTTAATTTCTTCGAGTTCATCTCTAGTTGCTGGATCAATTTCTTTTGTATCTAAATTTGCATAATGATTGATTAGAAAATAAATCAAAAATCCAGTTTCTAGAATTAATTCATGGTATTCTGGAGGTTTAGTTGAAACATGAGGATTTTCTTCAAGCTGAAATTTTAATAAAAAAAATTACATGACCTAAAGATTCTTTATTATAACCCAATTTTTTATACATTTTTTAATGCTTTTTATAAATAATAATTAAATTCTTTTTAAGTACATTAATTGGTAAAGATCTTAGTATACGTTTAATTGCATTTGTATCTGAGTTCAATTCTAATAACGAACTCACTAATACCATACATTTGTATTTTAACCTTTCCAACATCCACCTATCTATTTAGATAGTTTTAACTTTGCCACCTGCTTTGGCTGTACTTTTAGATTAAAGGGAATTTGATCTTTCTCTCATAGAATGTTCCTCTTTATCTTAACTGCCATCTTAATCTTTTTTTTTCTTTGATTCTATATGCATATTTAAATAATTTGATGCAACGTCTAAAAATAAAGAATCAATAATATCCTATTGGTTTTAAGAACAAGGACCTTAAACAAGCTCAGTTAAAGTTTCTAATGTATTCATAATCACTTCAAAAGAATCTCTCTGTAAATCATTCTCAAATGCACACAATAGTTCAACCATTGCTTAAACAATATTGTAATTATTTCTACTATTATATTATTACCTTAGATAATTTTAAATCTATAAGTTATGACCTTCACAAATTAATTAAAAGTATTTCAGCAAATAAATTAAAATACTCATTTTGCTTCTTCTTACCTCTTAAGCTTCTTTTGATGTAGATTCATCCTCATTTTATTGTTCTTAAATATTTGATAAATATAATTATTTTTAATGTTAATCCTTATCTTTTTAACTTTTTTATTAAATTAAAAGTTATTAAGTTTTCTTATTCTCATTAATTACTTCATAAATAATTTGATTCATTTTGAGAAATATCATTTCTGATTTTTCAAAATTACTAAAGTAATTAAATACTGTAGTTTGAATTCTTTGATTCCCATTTTTGCTCAGTTTCAAAGCAAATTTAAATAATTATATCAACAAATCATCATCAAAAGGGTAAACCTAAAAGTCAGCTAATAGATTCAAAAACATTCTAGTTGCCTAACATTAATCAAATTCATTTTGAATTTTCTCTAAATCATCTTTAGAATCTAAAATGTCTTCTAAAAGCTATAAAGTATATATTAAATTGGATTTATTTGCTTAATTAATAATGCCAACTTCGATAAACCTAATTAATTTTTTTAAAAAATCTTTAAAACAAAAATTTTACAAACTTAGTTCTTTAATCATTGCATCTGGAACGAATTTATGTACTTCTTAAAATGTTTGACTTAAAATTCTCATTTCGATTGATTAAGTTTTTTTTGTTGATTAAAGTTGTTGACATTCTTCTAAAAATCTTTCCCAAGCCCTTTTTGTATTCCAATCTACAATCTCTTAATTTAATTAATCAATATCAGTTTTATTATTTGTTCTTTTAAGTTTTTCTTACTTTTCTACATGAATTAGAGGAGAATCCTTTTTTTTTTGTGTAAAAATTATTTGATTTTCTTCTTCTATTTATGGTTTTGCTAATTCTTATTATTATAATGATTATGAGATCTACCCTGCATTATCTGTAAGAGTTTATTCATCAAGTGAATGTACAAATTCAACCAAATTATTATATTAATTAACTTTTAACTTATGCTAAATCATTGTATTACACATTCCAAGAATAATATTCATAACGTCTTTCAATTCCATATAATCACTTCTTTCTCTATATTCAGAAGCTGAATCTTTTGTTATGACCTTTTTGGAATAATATTTCATTAATACGATTACATAATCAAAAAAATATTCTAAATAACTGTCGAAATTTCCTTGAAACGATTAAATTTTAACTAATCTATTTTTTTCTTAAGCAAAAAACTAAGTAAATGTATGTTATTCTTTAATAAACAAATATAAATCTGTAACCTTATTATTTACATATAGCAAATTTGCTAATTCTATAATTTAAGGTTTGATGTGTTTGATACCATCAATCATACTAAGATTAACATCAACCAATCCTTCTAATATATTTGCTTCCTCTGATAAAAAATCATCAGGTTATAATAATAATTCAAGCAGATAATGTAATTTAAATAGTTTTTTTAATTTTGGTGAATTTATTTTAAAGCTCTCTTCACCGATAATTGTTGCTAATAAAACTTATAATATTTCACTATGATATAAATAAGGCTGATCGCATAATTTAGTTTCTTGAGATTTTTCAAATGTGAATTCAAGAACTTTCCGACCTTCAATTGCTTTAAATTCCCCATAAAGATAAAATTCATTGATATCTGTGTAATCCTCTGTGCTTATGTGTTAAGGAATAAATAATTACAGCACCTTTGTTTGTACTTCTATTATTGGGTTATTCTTATAAGTTTAGATATTTTTGTATAAATGAAGGAATCTTGCTTACCTTCCATAAGAGTAAATAAATGTTTTTATTTTCTTTAATTAAGTTTCATCAATTTTTTAACATAGTTATTTATTATCCCTATAAATTGCACTTAAAAGATTCATTTGTCCATAATCATGTTATAGTTCATCCATAAATAAAGTTGCATTTTTATGCATGATTTTTTAATTTTCATCATTTTTATCACAAAAGTCTCTAAGTAAAGCAAATAATGCTTTTAAAAGTTAGATAACATAACCCTTAGTTTCCATTGAATAAAATGGATCATCTAAGACTTTTACTAATTATTATTGAGTATCTCTTATAAAATTTAGTAAAGGCTCATAAACATTTAAGAAATTAAATATTTTTTATCTAGACAAAGAAATTTAATCTGTTCCATTAACTACTCTACTTTTATGATCTATAGATGTCCCTTATTTTAATAACAATTATAAATCTCCTAAAATTTTAAAAATCTTTTAAATTTCCTTAACTTCACCTTGTGGAGATGCTAAAAAATCAACTAACCATACTTCTGAACATTCTGTTATTACTTTCAATTCTTAGATTGAAACCTCTAAAAATTAATAGCAACCAATCTCTACTTTATCAAATAATAATTCAATTCTATTTAAGTGATACATCATTTCAGAAACTTAAGAGAAAGATCTTCTCATTAATTCTATAAGTTCATTTTACAATCCAAAATCATTTGTTACAAAAAATGTCACAATTAATGAAGGTAATAATTATAAATCAGCTTGGGTTTCTCCAGATATCAATTTGTCTAAATCTATCGTTTCAATTAATTAAGAGTTTTAGATTTAAAATTTTTTTGATTGCGCTAATAAATTTCCAACTCCAATCAATTCATTCATATCATTTGATTTATAAATAGCCTCTATGTTAGTCTGAGCTTACTTATCTATAGTTTCTATTCCAGTTTTTAAAAATGGTGGCAAAGCCTAAACTAATTCTGATTCTAGATCTTTTAAAAATTTATCTTTTAATAAAGTATTATTCCAAGTAAACTATTAAAATTTATTTGTAAAATTCTTATAAAATTAAATAAAATTCGAAACATAAAAATCTTATCTTTAATCTTAAAAGTACAAAAGGATTCCACAGACTTCTTTTTATATTTCAATTTCAAAATTTGATTGTATAGATTGTTGATTCTAATTTTTAGAAGAATTTGTCTCTTATACTCCAAGTGTGTCCATATATGATATTATAGATATAAGACTAGAAACTATAGGATTTCTAGCAATAACTGTTGTGTCATAATCCGAAAATTCATCTTCTAATGATCTTTATTATTTTGGTGGTATTCCTAAAATAGATGATGCTAAGTCTTTAGCAATCTTCATAAATTATGATTAGGCTGTTACATTACCAATAACATTTAAATTTATTCTTTCCTTTGCTTTTTCTATTTTCGATTCTTTGACTGATTTCAGAATATAAGAATATAGAAGATTATTTTTATCATATTCTAAAAGTGTAATTAGTTTAGGTACAATTTTTATATACAATTCATCTCTTTTCATTATTTTCAACATATCGAATCTAATCATAATGGATATTAGTTTAGTTATATCTAATACTAATGGATTAATGTAAATCTCTTCATCATTTTGATTAGCTTTCTATTTTGTTCCTTTTTTGCTTTCTTAATCTTCATTTTGATTAATTTTATATTTTGGATCCTTTTTATACTCTAAATCATCATTTAATTTCTTATAAAGAATTTCTAAAAATTCAAAAGTCTTTTAAACTAAAGGTTTATAAATATCCACTAATTTTTCAAGTTTACTCAAGGATTAAACACTTTTTGAAATTGGTTTAGTTTCTGTATATAACCTACATAAATTTGGTACTATTGCTTTATTAAAAGGCTCGTGATCAACATAAACTTTACATTTAATTATATATTACTTGTTATTGCCATATTACAGAATGCAGATCTATATTCTATAGACATAGAATCATCAAAAACTTAATCAAAAATAAATTGGGTTGGAAAAATACGTTCCAAATAAGATTTCCACAAAAAGTTTCTTTAATACGCCAGATCCGCATATAAAAATAATTATTCTATTAAATAATTTTTGATTAAAGAACTAGAATAATTGAATTAATTACTCCTTAATACTGGTTAAGTATGCTATTTAAGTGTGATCAACGTATATTTTCATCTTTGTGGATTCACTCATTATTTAAGATAAATTTACATGATGATTGGCATAAATAGAGAACTTTTAAAATTTTCATTTTGTTTGATAAATTTGAAAATCATTTCTTAATTTACAGATATACTTTAATCGTTCAGTCTGCATATGCATCTAAAAAATTATAAATATTGAATATTTCTTTGTCCTTAACTATCTTCTGTTAAATTTTTATAATATAATAAAATATTTTTCTTTTCATCAGCAGATGAATTAAATTTTATATCCATTTCATCTGATAATTATGATTCATCACTATCAATTTGTTGTCGAGCTTTTAATTTTTCATTTAATTTAATTTGATCGCATAAATTTATTAAAATTTATTCATTGCCACTTAAAACTGTTATTATACAATCTGTAGCCTCTTTAAAGTATTTGATTTAATAAAGAAAGTTTGGAAATAATTTATATATGTAAAATTAATTCTCCGGATTGTCTGAGCAAATACTTCTAAGTAATCGATAGATCACTTTTAAAACACTCATTTTTTCAGATAAAAAAGCCATTTCCAATTTTTTTTTTCTTGCTTAAGTTTTTTGCTAAGACTATGTTGTATGAGAGGAAACTAATTAACTCGCTGCTGATCTTCCTATAGCAATTTAATCTAAAAATAGTATAAATTGAAAATACTTAATGAATTTATTTAAGAGTCCTTATTAGGTTTTAAAGGGCTTATATTTGAACCAATATGAGATCTTTAAGATAAAACTATTGTATTTTTCGTTTATTTTTCTAAAGCAGCTTTATGTTATGCTAATTAATATTCACTATATTATCTTAATTCATCTTCGTTTGTAATATATTTCATAATTTCAATTAAAAGATCAATAAAATATTATTCTCTTAATATTTTCTATCTTTATAATATTGCTACTTTTGTGTTTTTGATATCAAGTTGAGTATTGATTAAAGAATTTATGCAAAATTATTCTAATTTTTCAATAGTAGTTGTCAATTTTTTATATATTTTGGTCATTTATTATTTTTATGCCTCTTTAGTCATATCTTTATTGACTTTGAGTTTAGTTAAACCTCTTCTTAAAACAGGGAAGCCTGTTATTAAAAAGTTGGTTTCTAAGACATCACTATAGTTTGCTTTGTATAATTTTAGTACATCATCATCTTCTGTATTATCTGTTAATCTAATAACAAGTACTGATTTATCTTCTTCAACAACAGTATCTTTATATTTACTGTTTGCTTATAACTTGAAAATATAAAAAATTAATTACAATTTTTTTTTACTCAATATGAACCCATTAAGAAGAATTACCAACTGCTTTAATCTTCATGAATGCATCTTTTGTAACATATTTTTAACTTACCGCATTTGATCCCATTGTAGGTACAGCTACAAATTAGAAAAGAGTATTAGGAGTAGGTTAATCAGATAAATATAATAATAATTAACCTGATTTAATAGGCTCATAATTTATAGCTAAATATTTTCCAAGAATAAAATGTCTCAATCTTAAACTCTATCCCCATTCAATTAATCCTCCTTTGTTAAGATCTTCATTTTCAATCTAAAACATTCCATTAGAATCCCCATTAAATTCACCCTATTATTCATTCGATTGTTTCTAAAATGTTATAATTAATTCATTGTCTTAATTTCTTCCCAAAGTAAGAAGGGAATTTTCTTCAATGTGATGAATCCATATTACATCATTAAAACTGATAATTTATTCATTATCATTTTAATTACAAAATACAGTTAAAACCCAAGGACTTTAATGTTCTAAGGAAATATTAACTTCACTCGTTTATGCTATAGGTTTTACATCTTCTTCTTATTTTACTAATTATTTACAATATAATATACAAGTAGTTTATCTTCGAATACTCTATCCTTTTGCTAAGCTAGCTACTTTCTAAAATTTTTAAATTGTTGGTGTAATTTCTAAAATATCTTATTATTATGCTAATTAATCTGTCATTTTTTTAAGTAATTTCAGATTAGGAACAGCATATATGGATCTATCTTACAAATATTCATATGTATCCATAACACCATATTTAAGTGTAGCTCTTAACTTTGGTTTAATTCCTAAATAAATATGATCACACATAATATAAACACTATCACCTGCATATACTTCTGAATTTGATTCTTTTTAATGAACAAATGCAGGTTATAATTAAAATATGGTTTTTGATGATGGATACTCTACTAATTCTAATCTAAAGTTTTCTTTTTCTTCTTTAGCTTCTTTATTTGATAGAGATAAAAATCGATTAGTGGCAACATGCATAAATTGAATTAAATTATTGAAAGATAATGGTTTATCTTTATATTTTGCAGAAACATCAATGTTAGATTTATAATCAGCAATAATCTACTATTAATTTGTATTCAATACTTTTGTTTAAAGATCTTTAAGTTTCTACATTTATTTTGAATTATCATCTTACATGGTTTCTTCTTTAAAATTGACAGCCATTTGTAATTTAGATGTAATGAAATCAGGATAAATTCTAAACAAACTATAGTAGTAAAGTGAACCTGCAGCCATTATTTCTGGTGATATTTCAACCAGCTAATCTTATATTTTTAACTGTTACCTTGGCATCAGTTTTAACTAACCCGTCACTATAGACAAAGAGAGATTGATTAGCTAAAGGACTTATTGAGATAACCTATCCAAATTTTAAAGATTCACCTTTATTTGACATATTAATATAAATAAAAAATAAACTAGATATTTAAGGTTTTGCTAATAAACCTCTGATTAAAATAACTAAAAAATAAGTTCTCTTTATCTCAACTCAGAAAACATATTTCATTTAATTTTATAATTTCCTATTTATCATTAAAATCAGAATATTAAACTTTAATAATACCATCTATTTTTCAAAGGACAGGTATTAGATAATAAAGAATAGAAAGAGAAAAGTCATTAGTGAAACAATTTAGGTATTAATTGGAGACCTTGAAAGGTAAAAATCAAATTACATATTCCTTTTTAACGAATATTGAATTATTTAGAAAATTTAAAGAACTTTTTTCAAGTAAATATCTTATTATTGGATAAAGAGTGATAATGAAACATGTTTTTTAAGAAGGTCATTCCTGATTAAAACTTAATAGTATAACAAATAATGAAAATATACCTTCAAAAGAAAATAATCGTTATAATTGTTCAAATACATAAGGAAAAGATAACTTATAGTTTCTTAATAACAGATTGAAATGAATAATATAATGAAGATCAAACTGTTAGAATCAAATAAAAAAAAAGTTTAAGTTTAACAGATAGATAAATTGTGGTAGGAAAGAAAAAATTTTCAATGAAAGGACAATTAAAAAGCCATTAGATGGTGTTTGTTTCATTTTATTTAGAAATAATGACATTGCAAATGTCTAAGAAGATTTGGATAATCAAATTATTAAAACTAAGCTAAATTCATCTTTGTTTCCAATAAATTCTTATTAAAGGGTTAATGGAAATAAAAAATTAGAATTTTTCTTTTAGTATGCTTATTCTGAAATTATTGAGTCTTTAAAGTATCATCCATTCAATTTTAGAATATTATCATAATTAATTAGGTTTACAAATAAAAATACAATAAAGCCATTTATACTTTAACAAATCATAATTAATATTTAGCAACCGGAGGAGTAAATGCCTAGTTATATATAATTCCTTTGATGTAATTTAATGCAAATGTCTCATAAAATGGTTTTTATCATTTTCTGTAATGATTATTATATTTTATAGTTTGTAATAATTATGCTGATGATATTATGAAAATTAATTATATAATATTCACCTATACATGTTATTATTATTAAAGGTAGTTCTTTAAATATATTCAACAAATTGGAATTTGATGTGCATAAATTCTAATATTTTATAATTAATTTAATTCAATGGGAAATTTAGAAAATTCCTGTTTAACAAGAGGAAATTCAAATAGCATTCAAGACAATCAAGATAGACTTTCTGAATAGAAGCGTTCGAAAACTTCATAAAAAATAAGAAATTCTTTTCTTCATCCAATTTCAATTAAAGTAATAAAATACTTTGCTAAAATGTTCGATTAACAATTTGATCCTTTTTCTGCAAATATAACATCACAAATTATTTAATTATCTAAGCAAAACCAATGTTTAGATTTAAGTTTGTGTAGATATTTATTAGTCAGCCAGAAATATAATTTTGAGAAAATCAACTAATTACTTAAAGAAAATGAAGAGTTCAAAAAAACTATACGGCCTATAGAGTGTGAACAATTAAGGCAAGCCATATAAATAATTGGAATCGATTTTAATTTAGGACTAGTCCTATGTGTAAAATTGGATAAAATAAACACTTAATATGTTTAATAGTATTTTATATATTTTCTTGAACATTTGTTTTATGAAATTGCTACTTACAACAAATTAAATAATCATATAGTTATTGTTTATGATCTATAATAAGAATCAGCTAATCCAATTTTTCTTAATTTTATTGCCCACCTAACCTACAAACATTATTTTTTAAATGTAAGAAAACTCATTTTAATAAACATAAGTTTAGAAAAAATTTCCTCTGAAATAATAGGCTTGTTAAGTTAAGGTTCATATTCTTACTTAATATTACCTCTATCTGATATTACATATTTACAAAGACATGTAAAAAAATCAGAGCTCTCAAAAGATTATGGAGGGATGTATTAAAAACCAAGAAATCCTATTCCTTTAAATTATAATGAAGTGCTTCATTTTAAAGTTTGATCAATATTCTATATATAAATCAAAATTATAATTTCTAAATTAAATCATTGTAACAATATAAAAAGTACTAAGAAAATTTCAAATTTTTTTTTCTATTTTATATAATTTATGTTTAATTTTTGTCAAATTTAGAAACAACTAAAATTACATATTCAGTTATAAGAGATTCAAAATTAGTTTTGTTCGCTCTTGATGTTTAAAAACACAATGTCAATTCAAATATAAATGAATTGAAATAACATCAAACTATTTTTTTTTTTTTTTTCGTCAACAATTTTTAGGTCTATTATTCAAGAAATATTCCAAATGAATCCAATTATGAGATACCTTCTCTTTGCTTGACAAATAACCAAAACCTAGAATTCTTTGAATTAATAGGGAAAAAAATTGGGAGCTTTGTAAAACATACCAGCTTTACAGCTTTATGGATCAAACTAATTCTAGTATGTTGATAGTTTCAAAATAAATTTCTTTTACTTTATTTTTGCTATATCTTTAGCTTATAGATACATATTAGTAAAATTTACTGTGTTTGTTTTTCTCTATAATAATTACTTATAAATTTTTAAAATTAAAATTATCTGAAGTTCTAATATTATAACTTCTTATTTTTATAATCTAATTAGAAATATAAAGAAAAAAGAAGTTTAAAATATTTAATTTTTTCAATTATAAAAATAATCAAATGACAACATATTGATATTGTAAAATGAATATTTTTACAATTATTGTTCCCCAAGATTCAAAAAAAAAGTTATACTATGGAATGAAAAACAATTTAAAAAAAAAGCTTATAACATTAAGAAATTTGAAATTTTCTATTATTTTAATTTAATTTATAAAAATTAATAATTATTTTATAATATGGATTCTAAAGTTTATGATGAAGAATAAATAGGTGAAATTTAAGAAATTAATGATTAAAAGCCAAAGTTAACAATTTGGAAACTTATATTATTAGAATCTTTAATGATATCTCCAGTAATCTGGGTTATTTTTTTCTTATGGATTTTAAAAATGCCTCTAAGTTGTTAATTAGCATTTTAGTTAATAACTTTATTAACGATCCCATTAATTAGTATAAAAATGTAGAAGTAGCATATTTCCAAACTAATAAAAACTGATTTTTATGTAAGTGAAATGATTTACGGTTTAATATTTTTAATTGGTTCTTTTTTGACTACTGTAATCTTAGGGTATTTTATGTTTAAATATTATGATATTTTGGATTATGAAGCAATAAAAACATTACAAGGAAGCAAATTAACTTTAATTTTGGCATTAATATTATTAGCCATAAGCAATCCCTTTTTAGAAGAATTTTTTTGGAGAGTTTATTTACCAGAATAATATCTAAGACATGAGGAGATTAATTATAACGAATAACTTAAATGGTATTTAGCATTACATTATGCATGTTATCATTTTTTTGTTATTTATTTTTTTACAAAGTAATTTTTTTATAGTTATTGGTATTTATAGATTAATAATTGTGTCATTAATTGGATTCATAATAATAACAATTGGAGGAAGAATCTTTTTTATAACAAGGGATAAACTTGGACTTTTAACAACAGCACTATTTCATATGGGAGTCGATTTAGGGATTGTTGCATTAGCTATATATAAGATTCCATTAAATGGTGAATGAGATATTTTGTATGTTTAATGAATAAAGAGAAGAAATATAGATATAAATAATCATTCAAAAACTACTTGAATGAAATATCTTTATATCACTCTACAAACTTTATTCTTGATCTTCACAATAATTATTTTATTAAGAACTCTGCTGCTAAAAATCAAAAATTTTAGCATATATTTCTTCATCCATAGATTTACTATTAGATTTACTTAGATAGTTAGCCTATTATGAAAAATATTTCTAATATAATCTAAATAATAATACTTTGATTTATTTTTTAGTAAATTTATATTCAGTGTGTTATTCAAAATATGAGTGAATCATATTTAAATCTCCTAAAAAATTATGGTATAATTTCTGAAATAGTTCTTAACTTTCTTAATTCCATTTTGTTCTTTTGACATTAGATTTTTATTTATGTATTTTACTATTTTATTACATGATTTGTTGAACTAATGACTTAATTTTTTAGCTTTCATTATTCAAATTACTAGTCTAATCAATATTCTCACTTTAATTAGATTTCATCAAAATCAATAATACAATATTACGAATTCAATTCTTCATCATCAAGAAAATTAAGAAAGAATTTATCATTTTACAAAATATCATAAAAATTAATATTCAAAATATTTGGAGTTTCATTTGCATATAATCTCAAAATGCAAAAGAAGTGTTATCAAGTTTACTTACATCAGATATTTTTCAAATATATACACACAATCAAATCTTCTTCTAATAAATAAATAGATTACCAAAATTTATTCTCTATTTTAATTACTAAATATTATACTTTTAACCACAATCTCCTATAGAAACTCCAAAATAATATGTTTTTCGTGGGCTTTTGATAGATCAATAGTATCAATTAAAGATTATTATTATATATCCTTATCAACTAAAATTTGTTATGTGATAGGTAATTGCAATTTGATGCCATTTTTTCTATCCTTTGCATTCAGTCAATTCTATTCTTTAAGAATTATTTTAATTCATATCTTTCAAGGGCCATATTATAGATTCTGTCTCAATTGATTTAAATTCTTTTTATTTCAAACATCTTTTCTATTGAGTGAACAGTATTTAGTCATTTGAAAACATTATTTTTTACTAGAAATAAATATTATTAATCACAATTTATATTCAATAGAATCACCATATTTTAATCCATTAATTTTCTATAATATTAACAATTCTTAATGATGGATTCACAACAACATACATTATATTTTATGGATGATCAGAATTATATGAATTCTCTAATTTCTTTATATCATATGCATAAGAATCTATATATATTTCATCTTTATCTNCATAACTATGCTTAATTAATTTATATCAGATATTTTTGTACAAAAAGCCAAAGATCCTCTCAAAAATAAGTCAATCTCCAATTTTCGAGAATTTTAGCTAATAATATAACTAATTTAAATACTTAATCTTTATGATTATCTGTAAAAAGTTCTTCTTCAAAAAAAAAGATTTAATGAAAAATTTTTATTAAAAAAATATAAACATGAGGCTATTAGTTGTATATTTTTAATTAATCTTTTGATATACATATTAAGAACTTTATTTGGCCTTTCAAATAAAACTAATAAACTTATATAATTTTTTTCCCCGCTTAGAAGAAAAAAATCTATACTATGGCTATTACCTTATTTCTAAATAAAGTTCCTTCATGATAGAAATTTGAGAGATGTTTTTTCAATTTATTAATCTTAAGTTGATTAAGTATATCATGTATCGAATGTCATAAATGTTATCGAATAGTTGGTTATTTATTTTAGAACTTTGATATAAAATTGAGGGCTTTCCTAAATTATCAGCAAATCTTAGAGATCTTATTTATAAAGTTAAGAGAAACTTGTTAATGATTTTTGATTGATTTGAGTAATTAGTGCTTTTAACTTAAAATATTAATATTTTTATTTTTATTTTAAAGCCTTTTTTCCTAAGTTGTTTTAAGATTTATTACAATATTTTTACAAATATTCAATATTATTAATCACAATTTATATTCAATAGAATCACCATATTTTAATCCATTAATTTTCTATAATATTAACAATTCTTAATGATGGATTCACAACAACATACATTATATTTTATGGATGATCAGAATTATATGAATTCTCTAATTTCTTTATATCATATGCATAAGAATCTATATATATTTCATCTTTATCTGCATATTTTCGAGCACTATTATTATTATTTTATAATACTTTACAGTATTTTTGTATAAATACTTTGTCCAATCTAAATAAGCTTAGATTTCATCTTCATATTAACAAAGCTATCCTCCCAAAACTAAAATTTAAAATAATCTTAATAATAATTCTTATCTATCTGCTTCATTAAATACACAATATTATTCACAATCTTCCATCACTAATGCTTTTCGTAATTCATCTGCTATTTATATATTTTCAAATTATTCTTCAAAACATTATTTAATATGCCCATTTACAACAATTCTATCTTCTGTTAATTTATCAAATAAATCTAATTTTATTGATTTGCATGTCAAAGGTTAATATTTAATTTATGAAAGCAATACATTTTATTTAAATGATGCATAATGTAATGATCCTCTTACATCCTTTGAATTAAATAAATCTAACAAAAATTGATTTGGATTTAAATAATCAAATTTGATATCAAATAGGAATGTATTTACTTTCAAGCTGTGTTATAAACCCCATTTTAGTAAAATTTCTAAAAACTTTTTATCTTCGAAAATAGTGTTTTCTTATCTAAAAAATGAGTAACTCTAATTTGTAACTTAATTGTCTGATTCAATTTACATTATAAACATTAATAAAATGTATTATTATATGGATTGAAGTATATTGAAATCTCAGAAATAGATAGGCAAAGAAAAAAAAATTTGAATAATAAGCATAAGAAATAATTACTCTCGGAGAAAGTGATTTTTTCATTAGTTAAGTTCAATCTAAATTCTTATGAACTTAAATCTAAAATTAATTATAGATATAAAATACTTCAATATAGAAATAATATCTCTATAATTAAGAGTCAAATAGATTGGAAAAGTTTTATTCAGAACCTAATTTAAGAAAATAATTCGTGCCATTAAACAGATAAACTTATTTAGAAAGAAAATATTTACGTTAAGAAAAGGATGGTCATTTAGAAGATAGGAATAATTGTATAAGAACTTTAAATGTAAATTATAATAATACTTATTAAAACACGCTAATAAGGAAACATATCAAGGTTATATTTTAGAAACTAATATATTAAATCGTTGTTATTTTTATTAATTATCTAAATGAAGAGCAAATCTCAAATATTTTAACATGATTTATAGAATTTATGAACTGCTTTTAAGGATTTGACAAACTAAAGCCAAATATATATGAACCGTCTGTGTTAAACTTAATATAAAAACATATGGATCAAACTAGAATATATTAAATAACCTTTTTTATTCTAAGTAGTATAATATAAGTAAACAAAATCTGGATTTAACTAATCCTAAAAACCTTGATTGACATATGAGATGTACAATACTATTCTCAAAATTACATTTAGGTAATCTTTTGTAAAGAGAATCAAGATATATCCTATTCCTACTTATTGGAAAAATAAATGTTTAGATTAAAAATATTTGTTGAATTATTCAAACAATTTAATGTACTTTAGAAATTAAATAGCGTTTTAGAAGAGATTAGTTCTTGTAAATTATAATTTTAATTTCAAAAAAAAAATGATTTAAATCCTGAAAAGATAAAGATTCTCTTAAGGATAAAGGCAATAAAATTTCCCATAATTATTATAAATATTCCAAATAATTAGATTAAGTTTTTTAATATCAAACTGTAAAAATAGAATTCTGTGAAAAATATTTTAATAGATAAAATTCATACTCATACATCTAAAATAATGATTTTTAATCAAATAGGGGTGTTTTTTTTGAAATTATTAGTCCTTAAGTAAAAAGTACTAAATAGCTTCCCAACTAATTTTACAATTATAAATTCTTGAACTCTCTTCTAAGATGAAGTTATCAATTGCCATAAAGTCTCTCCTTTTGATGTTAAATCATTACTTGTTAATATCATTAGGTGTAAATGAAAAAGTAAAAATTGTAAATATCTTAGAAAATCCTTTAAAGGCTTATACGTATGAAATTAAAGATGGAAAGAATAAATAAGTTTGTATTTAAGAATGAATTATAACTAAAAGACGAAATAATTTATTTTTATTATTATAAGGCTTATAACTAACTATTCATTCAACTTTAGTTTATTACATTTATTGTTGTTATGGGTCTTCTGATTCAGCTTTTCCATTTAAAAATTCATTGGAAGCTCTATAAATTTCATAAGTCTGTTGAATATCAATTCCAAGGGAATTACATTGATTATGCTCTGTCATAAATTAATATAACTCTAAAGAATCATCTTCATCAATTTCTGACCCAAAACATTTTTCAAATTATTCTTTAAAATGATGTTACATATCTTTTTTTTCAATTGATAATAAAAACCTAGCTACCTGGCTGGGTTTCAATTCTTTTCTTAATGATTCTAAAGTTAAATCAAATGAAGTTAATTCAGCTTATATTTAATTTTTTACTTCCTAAATTGAAGATAATGTACTTATAATATAATAAAATTTGAATACTTTGCCAATTCATTTTGATGCTTGAGTAATTTTTATTATTTTTTTTATAGTATTTGTTTTTATTTATCTGTAAGCTTAAGATTTCTCAATATTGTATTTTCAGTATGCCTAAGAATTAATTTGAATTTTACTCTTAGTTTGAAAATATATCCTATTCAGTCTTAGCTACTCCTACAATATAATTAATATAAGGTGCTAAACAATTTTCATAAATTTGCCTTGCATAATGATCAATCAATTAATGTCTTTCTTGTGACCCAGAACCAAATTTCTTCTATAAAACAATAATATTTCATAAATACATTTAAAGAATCTATTATTGAGTCAATATTCATTTCTCCAGCATTTCCATTGATTGAATTTTATAAATTAGAAAATAAAATCATTTTTGTTTAATCCTAATCCCTTTTCTAAATAATTGTTAATGAAAATACTTATGTTATTTTATTTTATAGATTAATTGCTAATTGTTGAGTTCTTTCATTAACATTCTTAAAAACATCTAATTGTTCTGATAATTTTGTAACTTTATTTTCTAACAATTCTAAATAAATCTTCTTTCTTCTTCTACTATTTCTTGCAGACTCTCTATTTTTTGCTAATTTATCTTCTTTATCCCCTAAATTATTTCCAGGAAATTATTAACTTTATACTTTGTGAACAGTTTATTTTTTTTCTTAACTAAAAACATGATTAAATAATAATTATTACGCTTCATCAACTATTTCTTAATTGGTCATTTTTATAAGTGATGATATCTTTTTTATATAAGTATTCTTTGTGTTTTATTTTGGCTTTCTTTATTAAATAAAACACTTACTTTTTCCCAGAATCTGCTTCTTATTCATAATGCATATTACTAGAGTTTGAATTCTAAGCAAAATCAATATCATCAAAATGACTCATAGAGTAGATATATTTTATATTATTTTATTCACAATTCTTTTAATTAAAATTATAAATAATTGCAATCATTTGGTAAAAATAATGAATATTATTAAGATTAGTTAATATTTAGAATTGCATATTATATTTCTGTTTAGATTTATATGGTTAATTATATTTATATGTTTTCTAATTCAAACTATAATTATATATTAAATATTATATATGTAAAATCAATAATTTGGTAGTGATGCTAAAGCTTACAAAGAATAAGCATAACAAAGAAAATAATAAAAAATAGAAAAATTATGGAATGAAATTGAACATAATCAAGAATTGAAGCCTGTACTATATAATTATTGAATCTAGTAATTTCTTCTATTAAAAAAGAAAATAGCAACTTCTCATAAAAAGAGAGAAGAGACAACTGGGATGATTATGAGTATGAAAGAAGAATATAATCAATTAAAAGCTGATATAAAAGAGTTTCTAAAAAAATAAAACAAAATCAAATCAGTCAATAATCCTGTTAATAATAAATGATTAATATTTCAGTTTTATTTATTTAATTAATATAATTTTAATTTATGCTCAAACAACTCTCAAATAAAAAGTAAATCAAGAAGTTAAAAAAGACAATTCAAAAATCTCTAAATAATGAAGTTCCAATCCCAGTGTTAGAAGTTTAAGAAAAATTGAATAAAGAAATCGTAACTTTTATACTTGATGGAGCAGTCTTATAATTAGGATAATTGAAATCATCAAAAGTTTTACTAAATTTTGAAGATCATTCTAATTTTATAACAAAACGATTAGGAAGGAATCCAGAAGATTTCAGGTATAACTAAATTAAGCAAAAGGCCAGACATAGTACATTAAAGTTTGTTAACACTTCTTGATAGTCCACTTAATAAAGCAGGATTAATGAAAGTATTGATAAGAACAGAAGACAATAGATTAATTGAAATAAATCCAGTTACGAAAATACCAAGAACTTTTAAAAGATTTAGTGGAATGATAGCAAAATTATTAGAAACAGCTAAAATTTAATCGGAAGATCAAATATTACTCTAAATACATAATGATACAGTTTAAGAATATTTTTCGAATGAAGCTTTCATTGTAGCTACATCACATAAAGCTAAATTAGTTGATCTATAAGAATATATTTAGAAAAAACATAATGTATAATATAAAATTATTTTAGATTGTATTTGTTATAGGAGCAGTAGCTAAAGGCAACCCAGGATTAGAATGTAAGTTTAGTAATGATTGTATTTCGATTTCAAGATATTAATTAAGCACAGCAAATTGTCTATCTAAGATTATTGATGCATTTGAGTAATATTATTCAATAATTTGATTAATAATATTTAATGATATACCCATTAAAAAATAATCAACTAATTTAATTAAATCTTTATAGATGAAAGACCATCCAAGAAATAAGGATTAAATTTCATAGAATAAATATCTTAAAAAAAGCTTAATAAATAAATAAGTTTTTCATTTTATAATTTTAAAAATAAATTCATAGTGAGAATTTAGAAGATAAAATAATTTTCATTTTAAATCATTCACGCCTTTATACTATTCTTAGTTCTATATCTAATTAACTTCTTGATTTAGATCTACTATTTAACAGGGGATGATTCTTTCGTAATAGATCTAATAGATAATATTTAAATGTTACTTTTATTTTAATAATTCATTTAATTATTCATTCTTTTATTCATTTTTACCTCTAACTGAATCTTTAGAATTTGGCTGTACAACTATTTTCTAAATAGTTTTTAATCTTTTTATTGTTTAAGATTTTTATAAATTCATTAATTGATTTAATTGATTCTAGAAATTAGTTGAAACTCCATTAACACATTATTAAATTCCTTTCCATGATGTTGATGATTCCAAATTAGATATTAATTATGTAAGCTATCTTGAATAGACATTAGCATTAATTATGTATATTAGATACATAATATTCATATATAAACTTTCAACATAATCTATATTTTTGCATCCATTTTTATTGTATGTATAATATCCATTAAATAAAGAAGTCAGAAAACCAACATGAAATAATAAATTTGATAATTAATATTATGGTGCTCTAGAAAATAGGATTGCAATTAGTCTATAAAAAATAATACTCTAATTTACTTAACGAAATTCAGTTAAAAAATATTGTTTTGATGACTATTAAAAAACCAAATAATTAAAATATGCATCACTGTTTCATTTAAATATTTATAAATATTTTTTTCATCCGTATTCGGATCATAAACATCAAAATAAAGTAAGCCATTTACTAAAGTAGTAAATAATAGATATTATTTAAATTTAAAATCAGTTATCTAAGTAAGACTATTTAATTCTATAATTTTCTTGCTTACAAAATCTGCAACTTAACTGAAACAATTTTTAAGCAGTTCATTTAATTTTTTTTCTTATATTATTAGACAATTCTTATAAATCTCATTAATAATAAGACCGCATTCAATAGATTATTTTTAAAGTTGTTTGCTTTCTAAATCAAATATTCCATATAAGTAAATTTTGAATAACATAATTATTGTCCTTTCATTAATAAAGGATCTTTATGCTAGATTTAAAAATTGCTATCTTTAGTATTAATCCTTAACCAAATTTTCTTAATAATAGAGAGAATTAAATATTGAATCATTTAGTATTTTGAAAACTTGAGTACAACCTTTAAGAGTATGTGTGTTATAATGAAAAAATTATTAAGCAGTTTCAAAATGTGTAAATTATAAATCGATATTCCTTCTTGGATATATAGAAATAAGTTTTGTAGTGGAAAATCCATCTTAAGATATTATATATGTCTTATTTCTTTATCTTGATGCATAATTTTAACAATTTTAAGAATCTACACTTTCACTCTTACTAATTTTATTATCAATAGAAGGTAGACTAACAGAACTGTGATTCATTTTCCCTTTTGGAGAAATTAAATTTTTATTTGATTATTAACCATAAAATCCTTTATTATAAGATGATTACATAATTCTTATTCTCAAAGGGGATGATTCTTATAATTCTGTCATTATTGATTTATTTTTCTCATTGCTAAAATGCTTTAAATTATCAATATCCTTTTAGTTCATATCATCCATGATTTAATTTGCTGTTGAATTATTATCTAAAATCCATTATGAAGAATTTAATATTTATTACTCTTCTGAAAATTCAATTGGTGTCAATGGTTCTTATCTACTTGTAACAGAATTCTAAAAATCATTTTATGTTTATTGTGTTTTTTCAGGAGATTTTAATAGTTTAACAAAAGCTAAAATGCTATCCTTAAATTATTATTTAAATATTTACAATTTTTAATGATTTATATTCTTAATAACATTGTTCATTTCTCAATGGTTGTTTCAATAAAATTTGATAGAAAAAGTTAAACCAATTTGTATAATCTAAATATTTCCAAATTTATTCTTATAAATAAAAACCAAATTTAAATTTATCTATCCACAGACTCAAAATATCTCCAATGAAAGTAGTCATTTAGTGATTATATATATACAATGAAAAAGTGAATAATAAATTGTATTCTAAGATCTAATAAGCACTTTTTTAAGGATTTAAAAATAACAATTGTTCTATGAAACTAACTAAGTGATTAATATTTAAGTTAATTTCATCACTTATTAAAGAATCATATATTTTTCTAACTTTTAATAGCTAAATATTATACATGAAACTTCAACAAAAGTTGTTAGCAATCTATCAATTTAACGAATATTGTTTTAATTTTAAAATAATAAGACAGTTTTATATGATCTAATGATTTGAAATTTGTCTAATTAATTAGATATGTTTTTAAAATGTTTTTTATTAAATTTAGCTTCTTAATCTATAAACATCTTCTCCTATGATGATAAATTCTATTAATACCCAATCTCCAATTAATTCAATTTTACATGGATTTAAGATATAAGAAAGAACAGCGTTTAAATTTTCAGAATTAGTAAAATACACATAATTATCCATATCAATAGTAGGTGTTTCTTTATTACAAAGCCATTGTTAAATTTTAGTTTTATAATCTATTATTTTAGGTTATTCTGGACTGATAGATAAAGAATCACTTTCAGTTTCACTTTTTATATTACATTTCTTAATGAAATGTTAATGAAGCAATTTTTTGTTTTTATTTTTGATATGAATCAATTTACTTTAGATTAATTTTTAAGGAACTTTGATTTTATTTTAAATGAAATCTAAAATAAAATTTTTTAGATATTTATACAATCTTCTAATTCTTAATTATGTTCTTCAATCCATTCGAGATCTTTAAATATAGATAATTTTAATTCTTCATAGATATCAATAATTTGAAGTTAGAACTCCTCATTTTTAGTGTGCATTAGAAAAAGTTTAAATATGGATGCCATTTATTCCAGATCAAATTTATACTCTTTTGAAAGAGTAAATATTGGGATAATAAACTTGACAGAAAATCGTTTAGCAATAATTAGTCTTTCTATGACTTCTCTGCTAAAAGGAATTGAGCCTTATTTCAGTTATTCCTTTAGTATAGAAGTAATGTTATTGCTATTATAAAACTTATTTATATACTTATGAGAAAGCTTACGATTTTACTTATTAAATAAAGATCTAGATCCCAAAAATTATCTAAATTCTTAAAGAATTGCCACTTCTTATAAAGCTTTATGGAAAGCTGTAATAAATTTAGGGTCACTTTTATGCTACTCAAAACACTCATTCAACAACATTTCTATGGTTACATCTGAAAAAGGATAAGAGCAAATCACTTATATAACATTATATTAATACATTATTTGATTAAAGTAGGACTGTTGAAATTTTTTTGGGTTTTTAAACTCTATGAAATTTGTTTAATTCCTTCAGCAATCTTTTATAATCTAACGTAATCATCTTCAACTCCAAGCTTGATATAGAAATCAAATTTTATACAGCTTCTTCGAGAATCATAGTAAAGTATAAATAAAAAATTATATTAAGGTTTTATAAAATAAAATAGATAACCAAGATATATATGTCATTTATCACATAATACTTTTACGATTGTTGTAATAGCTTAAGATGTTTACTTTGAACTTTTTTTAATCGACTATAGGGATCCTAATCTTTATTCAAAAATATCAATTTATTCATGTAAATTAAATCTAGACATCGCAGCAGAAGTAAAAGATAACTTCAGCTCTTCTTCTTAATTAATTTTTAAAATTTTATTCAGCCTGCTTATTTAATTTTTTTCTATTATAATCATAATTTGTCTTAAAATTTACTTAATCAGCAATTTTTTTCATATCGAGAATTTCATTCTAAATTTTCAAATTCTCTAATACTTCATTGGCATAAACAATATCATCTAATAATGATATATTTAATTTATCAATAAGTTTTTATTCTCCATTAATAGTGACAAACTCTTTTACACTGCAAAATTTTTCAATATCAGAAAGTTCAACAAGTTCATCCTTGCCGTTTTTCAATAATACTTTTCTTAGATTCTTCCTTTTTTCAACAATATTTCTCACAACTAAGAAAAGTTTCCTTGAATTATTCAAATATTTCTTGAGCAATAAATTAAATATACCTACAAAGCTTCTAATTATTTTTTTATTTTTTCTATTTATTCTGCAAACTCCGTAAATTTCTTATTTTAAGTATTTTCATAAATTCCTGTTTTGTAGTTGGTGGTTTTAATTTTTTTTTCATCCCTTTTGAATTTGAGTTTTCCTTTTTCATCATCAGTATAGTTTGATGAATCATTATCCATATTAGTTTTAAAAAAAGGTTTAATAGTTGATTATTTATTTGATGCTTAATATTCAGTGATTGCTCTTGCAATTTTAAGTTGTTATTATGGTGATTTACTTTAAGATAATCTTGGTAATTTTTCATTAGAAATAGGTATTAATCTACTTGAAGTGATTTGCTAAAGAATATGATATTAAATACTCTAATTTCTAATTTCTTTTATTTTAAACTTAATCTCTCATTACTTAAAGCAAGACTACCTTCCATATTTGTTAGTTCATTAATTTTTTCAAGTTGTTTAATCACAGGTACTTATAATTAATATTCATGAAATGTATTCATAAATTATAATAAACAATAGGATTTAAATTTATGAAATGAAAATATATAACTCATAATTCTTCAACTCTATCAAGATCTACCCATTAATGTGAAGTGTTTTCTTTTAAGAAAGAGATGAAATTAGCTTCATCTCTTCCACTATTATAATCTATAATTTAATCTTTTTATCCGTTCTTCCAGAATTTGATAGTTGGGAATGATTCAATGTTGACTCCTTCAATCTAAAATTAGAATATATTAATTACTTCATTAGCTGTAGCATCACATTTAGCAATAATAATATTTGGATTAACCAATAATTTTTTAGCTAAACCTTCATAAATAGGAGCTAATTATTTGCAATGTCCACACCAAGGAGCATAGAATTCAATTAAAACATCTTTATCATTATTGATAACCAAATCTCTGAAATTTTTACCAACAACAATTTTGACTGGTTCATCATTTGTAGCAGGAACTTCTTCTGATTTCATATATCTAGTTAATGTTCCATCAAAGAAATTATTTAAAAAAGTTCTAAGTGATTCAGTTGTAATTTCACCTTCAAATCTATATTTACCATTTCCTCCTAATTAATCATATAACATAACATTAGGAATGTTAGTTGTACTTGCACCAATATATTCAGCTAATCTATGGAATAAACCAGATCCATCATTTGGTTTTGAATATGAAAATTTGATCCTAAAATTATTTAATTATATTTACTTATCTTTGAAAGAACCTGCAACAGCAGCAAAAGCATTAAATGCAGCAACACCTGCATCAGTATCTTCTGTAAATAAAATAATAGCATTATTTCTTTATTAGAATATGATATTGATTGCTTTATCATTAAAAGGTAATATAATTGGATTTCCATATAAATTAATAAAAGCTTCCAAATTATCTGTAGTAACTGATTATTCAAAATTATTTCTCTTTTCATCAAAAGATTTAAAAAGAACTATCTTACCTGTTACACTATATTTTTCAGCTGATTCTGGATTGAAAGTATGAGCAAATGTAACTTTGTCATTTTGTTATGCAACTTATTTAAATGTTTCAAAATCATTATCATCTGATGATGTACCAAAAAAGACAATTACAGGAGTGCTTGATACTCTTTCTAAGAAATTTTCTAAATCTTAAACAGAATTCAATTCAGTTGATGGAGGTCCTGATTTTTTATTAATCCAAGCAACAATCTCACCTTATGTTCTTCCTCCTTCATAATCAATTGCTTGACCATTAATGAAGAATTTTATTGTTGGATATCCTTATATAGAGAATTTTTCAGCAATTGAACTCTCAGCTGTAGCATCAACTTTTGCTAATGGCACATAATCATCTCCTCCTTATTTCTTTAATTCAGCTGCTGCTGCTGAATATTCTGGAGCTAATTGCTTACTTTTATATATATTTATTATTTATACCAATGTCCACACCATGGTGCATAAAATTCAACCATTATGAATTTGAATGTATCTATAGCATCTTAAAATGTATCAGTAGTTAACACCATCACATTATCTTCCTCTTAAAATGCTCCAAAACATGTTGCCAATAACAAGCTGATCAATATCAATGATTTCATAAATATGGAAATCTTTTTATTTAAAAATTTTTTAATGACATCAATTCAAATATTATTATTCACACAAAATTATTGAATTATTTTTCAAATTCATAATCCAAAAATTTATAAATATTATTTTTACTATTTTTTCTGTTCAATTTTCACTCTGACTTCTTTTTTATCTTAAATATTTCTCTTTTCATTCATTATTTTAATAATGTCTAATACTATAAAACTTCATTCCCCACAGATATCCAAGACTCTTGAAACCTATCATCTTAATAAAGAAACTATCTATAGATCTCTATAAGTTTAAAAATCACTCAATCTATTTTCAGAATAACAAGATGAATAAACTAACATGATTAAAACCAAAATTGTAAACTAATAACTTAGTATTTTCAACGATAATTTAATCAATACTAATCTCTAATAATATACTCCTTCAAATGAATAAAATAATATTTAATTATCATTCAATACTCTTAGAAATAATGAAGAATAATCAATATAACCACTCTCTTAAAAATTTTGTTACTTTTGCTCTAAAGACTAAAAACTTATTCAAATTTGCCCTTGCTCTTATGCTCATTAAATATGTGCCACAAATTATATTTAAGCTGGCAGTATACTCAAAAAAATATCTTGCAAATAATGCAAATAGAAATATCATCTCAAAGGTTCTGTTTATTTTGATTCCTAAAAATGGAAAGAATTTAAACTATCTCTATTTCTTGAGTTTTTATTAATGTTAATAGTTATATTCATAGTCATCTATTCAACCATTAAACTCAAAGAATAGTTAAAATCTAATTAGCTTCAGATATATTCAAAAATCGTATTTCTTTGCACTTTTGGATTTATTGTTTGTGTAGTTGTCATTTCTAAGATAATATAACACTTCAAAACTATCAAATTTGAAGTTCAATAATATTATCCTAGAAATACTGAATTTAATAATCATTATCTTAAACTCCTTGTTCAAGATTGAATTTATTTACTTTTAATTTTACAAAATTTTTTAGATATATTTATAATTGATTTCAAAAAAAACAAAAACTTTCCAATAATTATACATAATTTTGAATTATAAAACTCATATTTAGAGTTTAATCAGAATACTTATGGTTTTTTTGTTTTTGTAGTCGGTTACTTATGATCAAAAGAATTTATTGAATTTCTTGATTATCTTGGCTAATTTCGCAATGTCATTCCAGTAGATCTTCTTTATTCTAAATTTATTGCTATTTCCTTTACACTTGGTTAACGAGTTGAAACAGATTTTTAACTAAGATTACCATCTTTTTTTAAAGATTGCTTTTTATTGAGCAGACTTATTTCAGTAAGAGATTAATTACTTTACTTTTTTTTTTGCTTAAATTTATTCTATTTATCTGATAGTATTTTAAAAGTTTTATTCGATTTTTTATCACCTAAAATATTTTTATTTAATTATTTCAATTTATTAATATTTGTATTAATTTAAGTGTTCTATACAGTACTTTTAGAAGCTGATCTTTTTGTTAAAATTTCAGAATCAAATTCTATTTAATTTTTTTCTTATTATGGAGTTGTTAAATATTGTACAATTTCTTATTAACAAGATCTTAATGAACTTCTTTCTTCTTATAATTAAGCTATTTATTCAATTCTTTATTAATATCTTTTTATGGCTAATTATACATCAAATTAAATAGATTTTAGTAAAGTTTTCTCATCATCTTCAAATGAATTGATTGATTATAATTTTTCTAGAAATGAACTTTTGCCAAATGAAATNTATCATCTCAAAGGTTCTGTTTATTTTGATTCCTAAAAATGGAAAGAATTTAAACTATCTCTATTTCTTGAGTTTTTATTAATGTTAATAGTTATATTCATAGTCATCTATTCAACCATTAAACTCAAAGAATAGTTAAAATCTAATTAGCTTCAGATATATTCAAAAATCGTATTTCTTTGCACTTTTGGATTTATTGTTTGTGTAGTTGTCATTTCTAAGATAATATAACACTTCAAAACTATCAAATTTGAAGTTCAATAATATTATCCTAGAAATACTGAATTTAATAATCATTATCTTAAACTCCTTGTTCAAGATTGAATTTATTTACTTTTAATTTTACAAAATTTTTTAGATATATTTATAATTGATTTCAAAAAAAACAAAAACTTTCCAATAATTATACATAATTTTGAATTATAAAACTCATATTTAGAGTTTAATCAGAATACTTATGGTTTTTTTGTTTTTGTAGTCGGTTACTTATGATCAAAAGAATTTATTGAATTTCTTGATTATCTTGGCTAATTTCGCAATGTCATTCCAGTAGATCTTCTTTATTCTAAATTTATTGCTATTTCCTTTACACTTGGTTAACGAGTTGAAACAGATTTTTAACTAAGATTACCATCTTTTTTTAAAGATTGCTTTTTATTGAGCAGACTTATTTCAGTAAGAGATTAATTACTTTACTTTTTTTTTTGCTTAAATTTATTCTATTTATCTGATAGTATTTTAAAAGTTTTATTCGATTTTTTATCACCTAAAATATTTTTATTTAATTATTTCAATTTATTAATATTTGTATTAATTTAAGTGTTCTATACAGTACTTTTAGAAGCTGATCTTTTTGTTAAAATTTCAGAATCAAATTCTATTTAATTTTTTTCTTATTATGGAGTTGTTAAATATTGTACAATTTCTTATTAACAAGATCTTAATGAACTTCTTTCTTCTTATAATTAAGCTATTTATTCAATTCTTTATTAATATCTTTTTATGGCTAATTATACATCAAATTAAATAGATTTTAGTAAAGTTTTCTCATCATCTTCAAATGAATTGATTGATTATAATTTTTCTAGAAATGAACTTTTGCCAAATGAAATTCTTGATGCAGCATCATTTTCTATTGATTTTCCTATACTGCAAGAAACAAAACCTTTAGCCTTTACTTTAGTTAATTATTTTGAAAATTTCTATCTTATTTATTCTAATTTATCAATAGGAGGTTCAGAAATACTTTCTCTTTATTTCATAAACAATTGAATGTTTAAAAAAATAACGATTATAATTAATTAAATAAATTTATCGATAAATTTCATTTTATTAAATCAAAATCATAACCAAATTTATTAATCTCACCTCTCATTTTCATTAATAATTTTTCTTTTTATTCTTTACCTTTTAAGAATTAATATGATTTAATCTAATTTTAAAAATAAAATATACTTTAGGTGGTTTTGTTTTATCTAAATTGGCATTAATAAAGCATAATTAAATTTAATCTCCCTTAAGTATTATTTTAAATAGTCTCTATAAAGAATTAATACTCTTCACTAACATCTTGTCATTTTTTAATTATAAAATATAAAAATATCCACCATTGATATAAATATATCTATAATCTGTAGAAAACAAAGAAGTAAATAGTGATCTTCCATGTTTTGGATTTTGCTTATCCATTGTATACAGAATAGGCTCTTTTATTTCTATTAATGATTTCTTTTCGAATTTATTTGGTTCAAGGTTTTTTCTTTTATCCTTCCATTCTGGCTTGAATTTAATATTAATGTCTTAATAATCAAAGTTGATGAATTTAGGATAAACTTAAGTAACAACCTTTTTTGGCTATTCATCAGATTATTATTATGCTTCTTATTACTTTTGCATTTATTGTTGTTTTTATACATCTTATTTTATATTAGTATTGTTCTATTTGTTTTATTATTCTAAAGGAACCTCTTTTAATTTCTCATCTTCTTCAATCACTAATTTTGAGCTTTTCTCTTATTATTCTTCATCAGAATCTTGATGATTGTCAGCTTTTACAATGTTATAATCTTTATCATCTGTAGAAATAGCTTTTTGCATATTTATATATATTTATTTTAAAAATAATTAATATAATTTTTAGTATAAAAAAACAATAATTATTTGTTATTATTTTCACATATTCTACATCAACCTTCATTATTGATAATATATATCACTATGAAAATGTTGTTCTTAGTTTTATAAATAGCTTATTTGAATGTAAAAATTATGTTAATTAAATTAATTATAAGATCATATGAACATAAGAATTGGTGTACCATAACAAAAAAAATATTTCTAAATTATATTAACTGTTGAAAAGTGGAAATAAAATATTTAAGTTTTTACATAATAATTATTGAATTTTAAAAATAAATAACATTAAACAATTTAAATGGAATTGCTGTCTATGACAATGAGTTCTTTTTAAATAAATTTGTTGTACATAAATGAAGAATTATGAATACTTAATGATTCACTTCATTATTACAGTTTAATAGAAACTAAGTCATAAGTAAAAGAATGGTTGAAATACGAAAAAGTTCTCTTTAAATAATTTTTTGGTAATGTAGTTATAAAATGGTATTAAAAGTATAGACTACTGATTTAGAATACAATTAAAATATATAAATCAATCTTACTAAAAAGTGGAATAGAGTAAATTTTATTAATTTGTATAATAAGAATGTTAAGAAAATCCCCTACTAAGGTTTGAATTTCTAATTATAATATGATACAGATTTTACATATGTTGAATTTATAAATAATTAACTTTCTTATAAAAATTAATTGGAATGGGAAGTCAATGCTGCAAAAATAATAACATTCGATACTAAGGTAATTTGGATGTGATTATTTACATAGAAGAAGAAGTAATTTTAGTAAATGATCAAACAGCTAATGTTACTCCAAATCCATTATAAAAAATAATACTATCTTAATAAGGTAGTAAATAAAGTCAAGTTGAAGAGGTTTAAATTTAGGATGTGTGCAAATAGCCAGAATATGTATTGGAGAGTGAAAATAACTAAGATGCTATTTAATAAGAAGAGATTCCTACAAAAATAATTGAAGTAATAAAAAAGGAAGAATGTGAATAACAAATACCAATAACAAAAGCTGAAAGTAATTGTATTTTTAATATTTAAACAGTCAAAGAAGAGATATAAATGAAAAACTAAAATTAAGGAGGAGGCTCAGTAAGGATAAAACTAGGACATGATATTTTTGTTAAACTTAAAGAGGGATCAATAGGAAATCATTACAATTTTGGCAAAGTGTTAGGATAAGGTGCATTTGGAAAGGTTTGGAAAGTAACGCATAAAACTACTGGATTAGTTAGAGCTATTAAGTAATTAAAAAAAAGTTCTTTAATAAAAGAAGATGAATAAAGAATGTTTTCAGAAATGAATATTTTAAAGAATTTAGATCATCCTCATATAGTAAAATTATTTGAACTTTATCAAGATGAAAATAATTATTATTTGGTTACAGAGTATAATAATTTATTCATTTATTAGATATTTATCAGGTGGAGAACTCTTTGATAGAATTAAGAAAATGTCATCTTTTAGTGAAAACATAGCTGCTGATTATATTCGATAAATATTATTAGCAACTATGCATTGTCATTAATAAAATATAGTACATAGAGATTTAAAACCTGAAAATGTTATTTTTATTAGTGAAGATTCAAATTCTTAATTAAAAGTTATAGATTTTGGAACATCTAGAAAATTTGATAATACAAAAGCTATGAGTAAAAAATTAGGAACTGTAATCAATTTATAATATTTAAGCCATATTATATTGCTCCTGAAGTTTTAAATCATTAATATAATGAAAAATGTGATATTTGGTCTTGTGGAATCATTTTATATATTCTCTTATGTGGATATCCACCTTTTGCTGGTAAAACTGAAAATCAAATTTTGGATAGAGTCAAATAAGGCAAATTTAATTTTGATCGTATATTATTATATATAAGGAATATTTAGCTGAGGATTGGGGTCAAATATCTAAAGAAGCGAAAGAATTTATTATTAAATTGTTAAGAATGGATGCTAATAAAAGATTATCAGCCAAATAAGCTCTTGAAGATCCTTGGTTAGTTAAATATGCTCCTACATCATAAGTAAATAAAAGAGTTCTTGATAATATCAGATAATTTAGAGTATGTTTGATATAATTATATTATTAAGGCTTAAACTATTTTAAAATAAGCCCTAATGTCATATATGATTACTTAAATGTCTACATAGAAAGAGATATCAGAATTATAAAATGAATTCAAAAGACTTGATATCAATAATGATGGGTATTTATCAAAAGAAGAATTGATAAAAGGATATCAATAATTGAAATTAGATTATAAGTATGCATAAGAGGAGGTTGATAGAATGATAGATATGATAGATATAAATAGATCTGGAATGATAGATTTTTCTGAGTTTTGCATGGCTGCGATTAATTAAGAAAAATTATTATCAGTTTAAAGAGTTGAGTAGGCATTTAAAATTTTTGATTTGGTACTAAATTATTTAAATTACATTAATAGAATGGTGATGGATTCATTTCTAAAAAAGAATTAGAATCCATTATGGGAGATCTTGGAGATGATGTTTGGAGTTAAATTCTATCAGATTGTGATGGCAATAATGATGGAAAAATCTCTTATGAAGAATTCTTTAGAATGTTAAAGAACAAAAAACTTTGATTCTTATTTAATATATTATAGTTCGTTCTTCTTAACTTATTTTTATCTCTTTACATATATAAAAACAGTAAAAAATATAAATAAGTTTATTTCTGTATTATTTGATAATATCAATAATAGTATAATAAATTGAATTTATTAAATATTGTAAAATAAAATATTAGATTAATATGTTTGTAAATTTTTGATTTAATGTTGAATTCAACAATATTTTTCAATTAAAAAATAATAAACTATATTAAATTACTTTAATAATGATCATTAACTCATATAATTTATATAACCTTTAGACAAACTCAAATGCTTTTTAAATAGTAATTTATTTTGCATTTTTAGATGGTATCATAAAGATTTTATTGATAATTTAATTTGGAACCAGAATATACATAGCCAATTAGACTCATTTATAAAATAAATAAAAAATTAAAGCGAGAGTTAATGATAAAATTTTAGAATATTTTATAATATTTATTTACATGATTAAAATATTTAAGATAGCTATGTTTCAAATTTAATTTTTTTAATTTAAATGGCTATTTTTCTCTTTAAAGAAATTGAATATTCTGTGCTGTAAAGTATAATAATTGTAATAATAAAATTCTTAAGTTGAATTTTAATTATCTCATGAATTAAAGATAAAGTAGATTCAGCAAAATACAAGCATTTACTTCGAAACTGTCAGTTTAGTATTTTCATTAACTGATTCCTGAAATAACACATAAAACGAGAAGATAAAAAAGATTAGAATAAATAGAAGAATACGTTCAAATATATGAAATCTATCTAAAAATGCTTCTTGGTTAAGATGTTGGACGTGCAGATGAAAAACGATTTTATTCTCTTAACAATATCACATAATTAGATGAAAATACAATTTTGGAATTTGATTTACCAGAGGCAGTTGTGAGGTATAATGTAATATTATATATGAATTTTAAAGTCTTCCTAACCCAGATATGATTCCAGATGAATATGATTACAATTTAAAATAATTGGAAATTTTTGAACAAATTGTAAAGTCTCTTCAGATTGATGAAAAGTCAATTCATGATAAACTATTTATAAAAGCCTTAGAAAACTCTTTTACACACTTAGCTGATCGTAAAATATATTCGTTATTTGAATTAAAGACAAGAGGTTTAGAATCGAATCAACCATAACAAAGAAATACTCTAGTGCTTTTAGGAACCGCTTAATAATTATTTCAAAAATCTCCAGATAGAAGTCCACGTTCATTAATTCTTGCAGATAACAATCTACATTAAATGAATAGAACATCTGATTTTCCAATTTACAAAAAGGAAGATCAATTGACTAAATTGGTGAAAAAGTTTAGAAATTATTTAAAAGATAACATCTCACATAATTTAGGTAGTTTAAATAATATCGCTGATTGTTTATAAGTTGATATGTAGAAATTAGTATATATATAAAAGAAAGCATATAGTTAAGGTGAATATTTAAAATAATAAGGATAATCTTGGTATAGAACTAGAAATGATACTTCAGATATTTTGACTCTAATTAGAAATGCAATTATAATTTAATTTTCTAGAAAAGGATTCAATGTTAAATAATTTATATCTAAAGATGGATAAACAATATATGTTTGTGTATATATGTCAGAAAAGATGTTAGAAATTGCTGCAGAAAACTTTTAATTACCAAAGAAATTAAGTTTTTGTTTCACTGATATTCTATCTTTAGAACCTGTAGATAAATAATATCGTCCATTAAGATTAAATGGAAGATTATGGAGACCAGATGAATATAATAATTCTTCTTATTTAGAATATCTAAGACCTTTAATTATAGATTAAATCAATTAGATAAATTTTAAAAGATTAGCTAGAGAAGTAGGTTAAAGTGGATTAAATATAGAATTATTTGAATATGGAAAATCTGATTTATATGGAGATTAAGAAGGACCAACAGATGAAGAATGGACTGCTTATTACAAATATTTAGTTCATTTGAATAAACATGTTAAAGTCTAAAGATAACATAATCAAATTGATAGTGATATTGCTTTATGTATTAATTAATAAAAAACGGTTGAAGAATTATACAGCATCAGAACTAATAGAAAATCTATAATCAATCAATTTACTGATTTAAGTGATGAAGCTACTGAAAAAATTAGTGAAATGTATGAAAAAGTAAGAGAATTAACAGATTTATCAAATAATATACCTTTGATTAAGGATCTTCCAAAAATTAAAACTATTAAATTAGTCAAATAATAATAATTAGCTCATAATTATTTAAATATTTTCAAAGAAGCACTTAAAGTTGCCAATTGTTCTTAATAATATTTAAAAACTATTTGGGATAGATACAACCAAAAACCTTTTGAATTGTTTGTTCCTTTTAAAATTAATCTGGTTGGTGAATCTGTAAAAAATATTGCCAAATATTAATTAAAATGGTGTAGATATATAAAAAATGAATAAAATTAAATCACTTTGTTTCCAAATAATGAGAGATTAAAATTAGCATTTTCTGTAATTTCTTAAACAATTAATTTAAATGCTTTAATAAATTTGTAGTTTGTCAAATAAATATTCAGTTTGCATGATTAATATGAATTGTTTGGCTATTGTAAAAGTATTCAAAAAGCTGTTAGTGAAGAAAAACTATTTTATAAGAAAAAACCCTTTGATATCTCAAGTGAATGGAATTTAGATTATTTACATCCATGGAATTCCCCAACAGAAAAAATTTGTTTTTATTTTGGAGAAAAAGTAGGATTGTATTTTGAATTTACTTCTTATTTTATAAAATTTTCGACTCCAATGGCTGCCTTGGGATTGCTATTTAGTGTTTTGTTATATTCATCATAAGATTATGATAATGAAGTTTATATTGCAACTATGTCTGCTTTTTCAATTTTAATTATACATTGGAATTCCTTTTAAACAGATTGTTGGTATTAATAATAACTTACATTTAATCTAAAATTTGGATAAAATAAAAATGTGAAAGAAAGTCTTGTACGTAGTTCATTCAAAGGATAAAACATAAGATCAATTGAAAATGATCAATTAAATTCAATTGGAGTTATACGCTCTAAATTTATTTAAAGATTAATGATTTCTGTTTTTATATTAATATTCTTAATTGGATCAGATATAGGGATTTTTGTAGGATTATATTATTTTAATTTATATTTAAAGACCAAATTAGATGATTATGGGAATAACTTTTAATATTTTGAAGTAATTGTTACAGCTTCAATCAATTATATAATTTAGTTAATTATAGATTAATTTTATGAGTAAATAGCTACTATTTTAACAGATTTTGAGAATTTTTAAACATCTTATTAATATGAAACAAGTTATATCATTAAAAAATATACTTTATATTGTTTCTCTTACCTTTTACCATTGTTGATGATTAGTTTTCTGAATTCTCCATTAAAGTTATATTGTCAATAAGAAAATTGTTAACATAATGTTGAATATTATTTTGGAACGACTATGATGTGGATATTTTTGATGTAAGTAATAAAATTTTTAAAGACTTTTTTTCATGAAATGGTTAAAACACCTTTAAAATAATATCCATTTAATCAATAAAGTTTGTGTGATTTTATTGAAACTCAAGAACAAAGAATTCCTTTTTAAGCAAGTATTGAAAAATATGGTAACATAAATGAATATATGGATTTTTTTTTATAGTTAACGTTAACAAATATATTTGGTTGTTTATTTCCATTTAGTATTACTTTATTTTGGATTTGGAATATTTTATAAGTATAAATTTCTAAATTAAGACTTTTATTCATATATTAAAGGCCATGGCCAAAAGGTGATGGTTCTTTAGGAATTTGGGATGATTTTTATTAATTAATTAATTTTCTAACACTTTTGTGTAATACAGGATTAATTTGTATTTACTATTATGATAAATTATAAGATTAAGTAATTATATTATTTTTAGCTTTATTGTTTTATAACTTTTTTTTTAAATATTTGACTAATTCAATATTTGGAAATTCTCCAATTATTTTAGATTAAATAGTGAAAAGAAGTTAATACATATTCAAAAGTAATGTTTAGAGTAAATCTAATTTAAGTAGATTATCATAAAAAGATAATAAAGAAAAATTATAAAGATGTCCTTTGTTTAAAGTTTATGGATCATAAATCAATCATGTTTATGACTATTTTGAAACGATTAGTTCTGAAGATGAAATATCTGATTATTATACAAAAAATAGTAAATAAATTTCAAAGAGATTAGTATACGAAGAAGAAATTTTTAATAACAAAATGAATGAATTAAATCTTATGAATGAATAGTAGCAATAGCAATAGTAATTTATAATGAGTAATTAAAATACTTAACGTAAGATATTGATAGATTCATTTGATTAATAAAGTAATTAATGTATAATTCCTGTAAAAGAGTTTGTAAGGTAAGAAACTTTTGCTCGAAAAAAGATTAAATCTAAAATAAAGGATTAAATAAAAAAAATAAAATAAGTATAGAAATTGAATTATGAATTCTTATTCAAGTATTATTCAAAAAGAGCTGTTAATGGGGCATTTAGAATTCAATCATCTTAAAAGGGAGAAAAGAAACTTATTTTAGATAGAACTAAAATATGGAGATTTTTCTTTAGATTGAATCTTCTATCAAGTTATAATATGTTTTGGACTGATTATAGGTTATTTATTGAATAGAGTTACATTAAAAGGAAATCAAAGTTATTTCATAATTTAGATTATAAGAGATATTAAATATTAAAAAAAAGTTTTGATAAATAACATGAGCATTATAAAAATTAAGCTATGTTAAAATATAGAAAATAGTTTTAATAATTTGGAAATACTTTAACATCTGAAGAGGTAAAAGAATATAATGAATTGGTTTATAAATATCAAAATTTTATTGAAAAGAGATCTTGGTTAAATTGTCGAAAAGTACAAATTTTCAGATACAAAGGTTTATTCTTTAGAGGATTTCGAAAATAAACTCTAAGGAAACAATCTATTTAATATGCATTAGAATATTATGAAGCAACTAAAAAATTGGAAGAAATTCAATTTGAGTCAGATATTCATAAGAAATTTGGAACAATTGTATAATATTCATCGATTCATCAATATAATTTTAGTTAATTTATAGATTTGTTCAATAAATTAGAATATGAGTATTTAAAAATATATAATTTTATCTAGGTAAAAAAAACAATACATATTTTCGTCAACAAATAGTAGAACAATATAAAAAACTTATTATTTGGAGTCATTGAAGTCTGAAGTTTATAAGAATGTCATAGACAAATCTAAAGATACTTATATTTTTGAGCAGCATTCATAAAAGGTAGAAGAATATGCTTTACAATATTTCATTGATGAAATGAATTAAATGCCAAACATTAAAATGAAAAAACATTTACATGATATATTATGGATAGTAATGATAGAAGAAAAAGAATATTTAATGTAATTTTTTTAAGTAAGACATGGTTAACAATTATAATTTTAACAATATCATAATGATGGATTGGGTGTTTATTTAGGAGAAAGTAAAAATTACATTAAGTAATTGAATATCCTTGATTAGATAGATGATTTTTTTATTAAAGGTTATTGTGTTTCATTGTATTAATGTCAAGATTGCAAGAGTTTATATTAGGTATTGTAATTTAGAAAGAAATATACTTTACATTATACTTTAGATGAGTTGAAACAGTTTATTTATGCAAATTTAAAAATTATGATTAAACAATAAATAAAGAATATATCTATATACAATTATATTCTTATTTAAAATGAATACATGATATTAAATTCAGTCAATTAAAACAATAATCAGGTTTTTCAATTGGTTTAAGTTATTATTGAAATGATTTATCTTTAACCAATTGAGGATTTTGCAAAAGCTCTATAAAATTTGAATCACCCTCTTAAATATTTTTTAATAGAAATTGTTAATTCTGAGAAAACTCCAAATTAAATTTTAGATATGATGTTAGATCAAAAATCATTTTGGGAAATAGACTTTTAGTTAGCTTATGTTAAAAAAGAGTAAACATATTCAGTTTACATGGAAAATATGAAACATTAGATTAACTTTAATCTTAGAATTAAATAATTTGATAAATGCATTATTCTTATTAAAGAAGTAGAAGAATATCTTAGAATAACTCATTACTAAACTACTTAAGAATTATTACCTTATTTTGTTAATTCATTTTCTAAAAATTTAAGTCTTTACATTTTGAGATCGAATGAAATTAAAAAAGTGTTAGATACATTTCTAATATATTATTTTAAAATTTGTGCTTTATTTGCACTTAGAAAAGAATTTTAGAATGAAATTACTTAATTAATAGATGGTTTAAGAAGATGTAGTGCATAAATAAGAGTAATGTTTAGACAATTAAGTTTAAATGTTAAATTAGAGAATTTATCCGAAATTGAATAATGCATAATATTAAAAAGAAAATTAAAATATACGTCAGAAAAACAATCATCAATAAGTTCATTTGAAAGGTTAAATCTTATAAACACATTAAGAAAAAATTAAGATTATATTCTTGTTATTGTTTAATACTAGACATAATTATAAAGATATTTAAACTAATTTTAAATAATTTAAGCTATTGATTGTTATTTTAATTAAAATTTCATTATGGCAGGAATTTAATATGCTGAAATAATATCTAATTAAGAAAAATTAGTATTAAGAGAACCAGCACCATAATTTTTAGATGTTCCTCTTGATCATAGTCCAGGATTAATTAATCTCGAATAATCTTCACCTTTAGAAGATGAATAAATAGCCACAGCAAATACAGAAACTAGAACTAATCATTTAATTAATGGTGATCAATTATATTGCACTTAATTACTCTATTTCAAATTTTTATATTTGATAAATCTATATGATAGTAAAAATGAATAATTTGAATATTATTATAGAGATTTTTAAGAGTTAAATGGAGTATCTGAACCTGTATATAATTTTTATTTAAATTAATTAAAATTATTGAGAAAAGAAGATATTGCAGAATAAAATCTAGAAATAGAAATGCATTGTGAAGTTGGTAAGTATTTGTCTATCAACTTAATGAAATGGTAGGAAATATGCAATGATAAATATTTAAATCTAATCCATTGTAATGATGATGATATCATTAAAAGATAAATATTAATATTTTCTAATCTCCAATAAACTCTAGAAAATAGAAAATCTTTAATCTCTAAAATCAATACTAAAATACCAACTACACTTGATTCATATAACTGTTTGGTTCAAATTAAATTGATATAATAAATCTTACATTTAGATAATTTCTAACCTATTAGTCATTCTATACCAAGACAAATAAAAAGCAAAATAATTAGATTTTCAAATAAAGTGTCATATATCAAATTATTATAAGAATATCATAACCAATTTAAAATTAAAAGAGATTCTTGGTTTTTCTAACCATGTCTAGAAGAACTTCAAATGTTCTATTTTTTATCGATTTGCTTTTCATATTCACCTAAACACATCGAAAATCTTGATCAACAAGAACCTGAAATTGTTACATATGCTGTTTAATAGATTAAAAAATTTTAATCAAAACCAAAATTCTATTGTTAAGTTCTTAAATGTACCTAAATAAATAATAAACCAGCAGGATAATTTTTAATAGACTCCTCACTCACTAAATATTAATAATATTAAATTTTTTGTGAATTTTTGAATTGTAGTCTTAAATAACATTCTAGTTTAAAGAATTCAATATCTATGATAGAAGAATAAATAACAGAAGATTTTTAACCTTCAATTATAATACTAGGTCTACTACATTCTTTTCTTTATTTATAATAAATAGAGATTGTAGATTTGATCTATTGTTTTTCATCAAGATTGTTATAATCCTAAGCTTTAATTTTCCATAAAACTTATTAAGGTTTTGAATAAGATTTATAGATTATAGAGAGTCTTTATAAAGATTCAAATTAATACATTCCTTATCCATAAAGATATTTATATGAATACACAAACAATTTTAAATATTTTGATGATTCGAAATTTCATTGCTAATATCTATTATTCAATATCCTAATAAATTAAGATTACTATTTGATTTAAGAAATATTATGTGAGTGTATAGAACAATTAAAGAGTCAACCTAATTTAATCAGATATTTACATTTGTATCAATGTTATTTAGAAGTTGTTACTTCAATGACTGGTTAGATGGAACCTAAACAATAATATATGTATTTATAAAATAATAATTAAATATAGGCTGAAAATGAATGATTATAAAGAAGGGACTTTGATGTATACTTTATTAGCTCATTTTTAATGTAAATATTACATAAATTTGGTTGACTTTGAAAATGCTTTAAAATATTCCCTTAAAGTTCTTTAATACATTAATACATTTCTTAAATAAGAAAGGATCATCGTTTCAATTGTTAATAATGTCTTAGTATATATTAAAATTATTATTTTTAGCATTAAGAATACCCAATAAATGCAACATTAAAACAATTATAAATCTTAGAATATGAATATCTTATAGATGAAAGTATGGACTCAGATTACATTCATTTATTTAATAATGAATTAATGAATGAAGCAATTTTAAATCATGTTCGAATTCTAATAAATTTAGAATAGAATGTTCCAAAAATAAATTTATTATTTTCTTTATAATTAGGATTAGAAAATAGAGTACATATTTCATATCTATAAATGATATATGCTGAATATTTTAAATTTCTTCAAGCTAGTGATGATCTCACACTTATTGAATTTCTTTTTGATGATCCATGTAATTAGGCGGATGATATTAAATAGAAAATATAGAATGAAGAAAAGAGATAATAAGTATATTATTCTTTGAAAATTAATATTATGGCAGATGTGACTGAGATTGATTATAGATTAAAGATTTTGGATTTCTAATTGAGTGTATATTAAGCATCAAAATTTGGATTAAATAAAAAATTAATAAATAATTGGGCAACATAATGTTCATAAAGAGCTATTGATGGATATTTAAAAATATTACCTATAAAGTAGTAAATGGTACATCCATACATATCAATTATGTATTTAATATAATGTGAATCATATTAGTATTTAAATTAGATTCAAAAATCATAAAATATGATAGATTTAGCAGAAACTAGTTTAAAGAGTTGGTTTGATGATAATAAACATCCTCTTAAAGGATTGTTTTTCTTTAATTAGGGTAATCATTGTAGATGGCTTTATAAATAATATTTAAGATGTGTCAAAGAAATAATTGGATTAAATTAATTTGATGCCATTGAAGTAAAGGTTATTGTTCAAGGATTAATAAATCAAGAACCTTAGATAATTAAGACTTTTGATTACTTTCATTCAGGTATAATAAAATCAATAACTGGACATCTTACAAACTTTATTTATTCATAAATTGGTAAACATGTCAGATAAAATATTTTTTATAAGTATACAATTTCTGATGCTCAAGATATTTTGGATGATATTATTTATATGAGTTCTATAAAAGAACTTAATGGTATCTCATAATATTTAGATGTAAATATACAATTATATTTAGGCCTTAGCAATATTTAATCACTTTGAGACAGAACATAAATGCATTGATCTTATAAAATGCGCAATAATGGCTGAAAATTGATTGTAATTAATTAATATCACTAAAGTAATTTTTATTTAAATATTAATATTCTTATTTAAGAATTTAGAATTAATTTGTTTTAATAAATATTTTATTGAAAATAATAAACACTCTAATGGAATATAGAAGATTAGGATAGACAGGATTAAAAGTATCTGCAATAGGATTTGGAAATTGGTTGAATGCTGATGATAATGAAACTTTGGAAAGAAATACAAAAATAATATAAAAGGCTTGGGAATTAGGAATTAATTTCTTTGATACAGCTGAAGGTTATGGAAAAGGAAAAGCAGAAATACAATTAGGAAGTGCTTTGAAAACATTAAATGTTTAAAGATAGGATTATGTCGTAAGTACAAAGATTTATTTTGGTACAGCATAAGATGATTTTCCAAATTCTAGATTTCTTTCAAGAAAACATATAATTGAAGGTATAAATTAAATTGATTTTTAGGACTAAGTAATTCGCTTAAAAGATTGGATTTAACATATGTTGATATTGTTTTTGCACATAGATATGATCCATAGACTCCTTTAGAAGAAGTTTGTAGAGCATTTGATTGGGTAGTTAGACATGGTTGGGCTCATTATTGGGGAACTAGTGAATGGACAGCTTAATAAATTTTAGAAGCTATTGGTAATTAATTATATTATTCAATTTAGGTATTTGTGATAGATTAAAATTAATTAAACCTGTTGCTGAATAGCCATAATATAATATGTTAGTTAGAGATAAATTTGAATGGGGCTATAATAATGTTTTTGCTTAAGGATATGGATCTACTATATGGTCACCTTTGTATTAAGGAATTTTAACAGGAAAATATAATGAAGATATTTTAGCTGATGGTAGATTCAAAAATGCAGATAATCCTATTTTGAAAGGGTTTTATGAAAGAACTTTAGGAAATCCATAATGTATTATTATATTTAATTTATAGAAAAGACGCTGCTAAAGTTTAATCACAATTAAAATAATTGGGAGAATTAGCTAAGGAACTTAATATTTCCCAAGCATAATTATCCTTAGCTTGGGCATTGAAAAATAAAGATGTCAGCACTGCCATAACATCAGCATCTAAAATTGAATAATTAGAAGAAACTGTCAAGTCTGTATAAGCTATAAAACTAATTACTCCAGATATTGAAACAAGAATTGAAGCTATACTTTAAAATAAACCTGAGACTCAAGTTAATTTTAAGGTTTAAAAACCATTTCCAACTCGTAGAGATTTATATGCATGATATCATTAATAAAATAATTATTATTTGATAATTTTATTCTTAAATCTTCATGCATATAGTTTAAATGAACTATTAAACCACTTAAATTGTATTAAATTTTTATTTTTTGAACTAATTATTTTTTAAATGAAACCTTCAAAATAACAATAATAACTTCAATAACCTTTAGCTTAAACCAAATAAAACTATATTTCTAAAAACTAATAAAATGAAAAAATGCCTATCCAAAAAGAACATAAATCTGGCTTAGTTTAATATAAGCCATAAAATATATAAAATACTTCCTTTATAAGAATAATTGAGTATGATTAAAATGAAAACAAGTAAATTTGTATTATATAAATAAGAGAGAATTAGTATTAAAAACTCTTAAGAAGAATGGACTTGTAAAAGTAAGTTGATGAAAATTAAACTTAGGAGAAATCTTAAAAATTAAAAAAAAAACAGCCTCTAGAAGTCGAATAAAATTTAAAGTAGAGATCGTATTCTGCTTTACCAGTTTTAAAAAGATGGAGTCCAACTGAAAAGATAAATTAAACACATAGCAATCAATTTTGGAAACAATACAATTAATAAGATGAATTCAATTCTTCTATTCAGAACTTAGATAAAAAATAATTATATTTTGCTTACTTTTGGATTGATAAAGACTTCAATTCATTTATGCCTACATTTTGCGCTTTAAATTAAGTATAATCTTTAATTTATTATTTAGTAAAATGTTGATAAATGTTATAACTAATTAATGCATCTATTAAAATATAACGTTGATGATTGATTATTACTCTGTATATTAATTATTTCTATTTTTATTGAAATTAATCAACATTTAAGTTGTTATACTACATAAATTACAAAATTATATTCATTTAATATAAATTTACTAGTCTAATTTTCATTCTTTATTTTTTGTACAAGTATAAAATGAAGAAGTTCCATCGTTTTATTAAAATTTTAATTGACCTAATTTATATGCTGTATTAACTTTAAATTTAATTATAAAATTCAACCTGTGTTATAAAGTTTATGTAAAATAGAGCAATTGCAAGGAGGTTTTCTAATAATAATTTTTTCTTCTATTTCTTTATTTCCTTATTCAGAATCCATAAATATAATATTAATAAATATTTATTAAAAAAAAATTCTTTTTTCTAAAAAATCTCAATTTTTAATCAATATGAATTTTAAGATTACATTTCATTTATTTATTTGAAATTAATCCAAACGATGTTTATTGGAGAACAACTCTTACTTTTTTCTCCTAAGATAGAATTTGATATAGAATAAAATATATGAGATATAATTATCTATAAAACAAATTTTTATTAAATTTTAAAATTTATTGATATCTAGTCATATGAAAATAAATTATTAAGAAAGTTTAATAAACAACTTGATGAAAGATATAGTTATGATTATTATTTATATACTCGAAATAGTTTCTAATATTAATTAATCAAAACACTTTCTCATCCTCTCTCTTCAAATGGAATTTTGATTAATTGAATAAATTATCTTTAGTTTAATTATTAGTTATAATCATTTAATTATTCAAAGCAAATGTTTAATTAGATATTTTATGATTTTATAAATCGAAAATTTTCAAAAACCAAACATTGTTCTGATTTTTTGAATTAAGATTCATTTAAAATAGAATCTAATTTATGATATGAATATTCTAGTTATTTCAATGAATTATTGTGTGATTGAGATTAAATTCTACTAAAGAGATTATCTTTTAATTTATATTCAAATTTTCCTTTCAAATATTGGATCATTTTCTCTATAACTATATTGGTGGAATTAAAAATAAATTTTAATGGTATTAAGGTAATCAATAATATTGAAATTCCAATAGTAATAAAGGATAAACTAGATTAAGTATACCAAGATAAGATTTTAGAAATTTCATCATCAAGAACTTAAATTATTTTATTTTCGAATGTTAAATTCGTAAGACTATTTGATTATAAATATAAATATACATTAATGAAATTAAGGGAGTATTTGGCTATTGAGAAGCTTTAATGTACATGTAGCATTTAAGCAAACTATTATATTTATAAATTGGTTTAACAGAATTCTTAATAGAATATTTAATATCATTCCAATCAGAGTTATTGAATCCTGTTTTTTATTCATCATAAATATAGAATAAGTCTTTAGTAATACTATTATTGATATAGCTTTTAGTGTATAAAATTATTCCATCATCATAAACAAGGATAATACTCAAGTTACTTACATAGAAAAACTATTAGATATTCCGAAAATTTATTAGTAATGATCCTACTCCTCTCACAACTTTTTATTAATCAAATAGAACTATTGAAAATGCTGACAATATTTAATCGTAATTGTCCATTCTGATTAATGGAGTCAGTTTATATGGTATAAATTAATTACTTTATTAAAGCTAAATCGTATAATTAAGAAACCATTCTTGCTAAACTATTTCTGATGTTTCGTTTTTTAATTTTGTTGGATAATATCCAGTCAAATGATTGTCTAAAAAGGAAACCAGATATAATTCATGAGATACTGCAAAAAAATCAAATGTATATTGATTTATTTAAAGAAGATTCATAAGTTTAAAAAATTAATTTTGATCTATTTTTCTAGACAAAAAATTATCTGAATTAGAATAGCAAACTAAAGTTCTCTAAATTTTTTCATCAATTTATTATGATTTTTGACAATGCAAAATTTCTTGATTTATTTTCATATCAAGAGTGCTGGACCATTTGTTAATTAAACTTAATTTGGCCATCTTTGTAGTTATAGTATTAAAATTAAAGCTTAAAATGTCTATTATTTCTTGAGATTAAATATTTAAAGCTCTATGTTATATTCATTTTATACATATTATTTTATTGTGTTAAAAGTTGCTCTGAGATATTTTTTACTTAATTTGCTGTAATATTAAATTGTATATTTGAACAAGCAATCAGTAATGAAAATGATAAACAAAAGATCAAAAATGAATAAATAAGCAAAATAGTGCTCATCCTCAGGTTCGAAAATAACTTATTAAGCCATTTTTAGCAGCTAGATAAATGCCTTTTTGAATTAAATTTCATTTAATTAAATCATTCAAAACTATATCAAATAATAACTTTATTCTAAAAATATTTTAAAGAAAACAATAATCAATCGCAAGTGAAGAATCATCAAATTAAGTATTTATATATTATTTTTTGATATTAAAATCAAACTCAGTGTCATGAATATTAATTAATTCCCGTTAATAAATTTTTATAAAAGAATATATTAATTTTTTTTAATTATTATTATTTTTTATAAATTTTTAATTTTAATTTTTTAATTTCCTTTTTATGAATCGCTATAATTTATGAGTACCAAAATATCAAAAATTTTTTTATAAAATTATCAAGAAAAAATATAGTTATTTAAAGTTATAAATTATTTATTGGATTGATAATTGAAAAGATGAAAAATATTTTAGATCATAGATTGAGTAAAATTTCAAGTAAATAAAAATAATATCAAATAATAACTTCAGGCAACAACAAAATTTTATGTGGCAATTAATTACTTAAATTATGGCCAACTTATTTATTGATTATAATTAATTATGTTTTCAAATGAAAGTTTCAATAGAGAATTAACATTTACTTCATACTAAAATTTTTCAATAAGCATACAATGGTCTGATTTGGTATATTATGATTAATTTAAAGTAATGTCTAATCTCTAGTAAGCTTGGTAAAATTAATTAAGAACATTATCTATTTATTAGAGTTAATTTTTTCTAATAACTTAATCTTTAATTTTATTATCAAATTTTCCCAATAAGTATTTGATCATCATGTATATTACAACTTAAGTTGGTTTGAATATAGATTTCAAAGGGATTAAACTTAATAGAATTATGAAAACACTTGCAAAAGCTGAATAGGATGTTAAAGTTAGTTGCCAATTTAAAATAGAGTCTAATTATTCATTTAGAAGTTTCGAGATTTCATTTTCGTATGTTATATTAGTTAGTCTAAATATATGTCAGAATTAATACATTAATGAAATCAAAGGGGTTTGAGGTATTTATTTGACTTTGATATAAACAGACTAATTTAATAAAGTATTTTATATTTATATAGGAAAATTAGAATTTAGTGAATATTTAATAAGTTACCAATCAGAATAATTAAAGCCAGTGACTGTTTCATTAAATATATACTTAATTTCTTTTTCTAAACCATTATACATATAGCTTTAAGTGTATAAAATTTTACCATCCTCATAGACAAGTATAATATTTAGATTCTCAATAAATAAGAAATGAGAAAGTTCTGGAAAATTAATAATTTGTACTGCAATTCCATTTATTTAATTAGTTTTATCAATCATTAACATAGCAAACGCTGCCAATAAATATTCATAATTTTATAGTTTTACTTAAGGAAAGAGTGTAGAAAATTAAGGATTTTTTGTTTATTAAAGCTCAGTTAAATACTTAATAAACCACTCATATTGAATTAATTCTATAGTTTCATTTTTTAATTTTATTGGATAATAAGCAGTTAAAAAATTGTCTTGAGGAGAAACAAAATATAATTACCTAGAAATAATAGAAAAATCAAAAATTTCTTGATATGTTTAAAAAAGATTCAAGAATGAAATTAATTGAGTATTATTTAAGTTTTATTATTCTTAGTTTTCTTGATATGATATGCATATTGTTACTCTTTAAATTTTTTCCTTTAAAAATTATGCTTACCTACAAGATGATATGTTTTAAATTGAATCAAAGTCGATCAAAGGTGCTAGATAATTAAGGGATACTAATTTTTCCATTTTTCTTACTGACATTGAAAGTGCTATTCTTAATACATCAGTTGCTTACGATGATTAAATTTATAAAGCTCTAAATTAAATATGAAAACTACTTAGAATTTTGTAAATGTAATTATTATTTAGATATTTCTTCTATTTGGTTGCTGGTTAGAGAAATTTGCAATTTTAAACAAATTATAAGATTTGCAAAAGTGAAAGCAAGTATGAAAAATGACTAAATAAGTAAAATTGTGCTCATTCTAAACTTAGACTTGTATCTATTTAAGGCAGCCTCACAATTATTCAACTTTTTATATAAACTTAAATTTTTCATAATAAAATTATCATCTAATAAAAATCTTTTGACAACATATTTAATTGAATAAAATAAATTGTCAAAATTCCATATATATAAAATATTATATTGTAATAATTAATAAAAGATACTATATCAATAATATCATTCTTGATAAATAGATTTTTCAATTCCTTTTGTTAATAATTTGCTTAATTATGCATAAGTTCCAGGACCAGGACCAATAGAAGAACTACCAAATAATCCTTTGAATCTTTTTTAACTTCCCCAATAAGCTCTTTTAGCAGGAACAGAACTTTAAATCTTAGCAAATGAATCACTAAGAACAGGAGTATAAGTTCCAACTGGAGGAAGTAATGGAAGACTTTTATTTTTTTCTGTATTATGTTTTTTTCTCCAATCCTCAGGTTTTGTGTTATTTACTTTAATTTTAGGTAGGAATGACTTTTATAATTGTTGAATATCTCACATGTGGATTATAATTTCCAGGACCAGGAACCATTATACTATGAGCCATGGCATCTTCATATGGATTAGGTCTTTAAAGTTCTTTTATTTTTCGAGTCTTTAATACTTTAAGCTCTTTTTCTATTTATTCTTAACTTTTTTCTATATTATAAGCTCCAACAGCAGGATTATTCACTCTTTTTTACTCCTTTTATAATTAATCAAATAAAGTCAAACGATTTGGATATTTTACTTTTTTCTCTGGAATTTTTTCAATCGAGTATGATTAATATTATAAAGGACTTGGATAGCTTTTAAACATTTTTGTATAATCATCTAAATAACTTCCTCTTTTTGTTTCATATCTTTTATGCGCTTATTCTAAACACAAATAACATTATGAAACTTACTTTTTTCTATTTGCTTTAATAAATCACGATTTCTCATCATTTCAGCTGGGTCATGATAAAATCGAGGGATTGCATATCCTTCAATACCAGAATCTGTTTTATAAACAATCGAATATATTTATTCAGGACTCAACATTAAATCAATATTTATATTATTACTATAAAAACACTTATTTATACTAACTCTTAGTATTTTAAGCTAAAAATAAATAATATGTTTCAATATCAAATGTAATTTATCTCATTCCATTATTAATATATTTATTAAACATTATTAGAATTTCACATTGAAAGATGAAATTATCTTACAATATTGAATAAATTAAGAAAAATGTGAAAAAGGGAAATTATATTGACAAAGACCTATAAATTTTAATTATGAATACTCTTATTTTACAACAATCAATTGATATCAAATTCATTTCATCTCTTCATAAAAATTACAAATTAAATACATTAACTTTTTGTAAGAAATAAACAAAAAAAACATATATAATATGGTGTATTACAGATTTACTTAACATCTAATCTTATTTAATAAAAAAGAATTATAATAACGATTTAATTGGGGATAATTATTTCCAGAATTTAGATGAAGAGAGATTACATTTTTCTAAATAAGGAAAAAATTATTAATCTAGTTACTTTCTACCATTATATTACAATGGAAGAAAGCAAACTGCATATATTTTAATTAAATGAAAAAAGAAGAATTATTTAGATATAGGTTTAATAGTTAGAAATAACATTTTGAAAATAAATAGAGTATTTTAGATTAATGAGTCCTTATAATAACTATAAAATTTGCATTTGGAGATATTAATATAAAATATGATAAGTAAATTAATTAAGTCAAATTTACAATTACGAACTTTTTTGAATAATATCATTTAAGGTTTTACAACTCATACTACTTATAAAATTTATGAAAATAATAAAAAAAGGAAATAACAATAGAAATACCTATAGAAAGTTATAATGATAAATTTGAGATCCAAGATGATAAGTGGCCTCAGCTTTAAAGAAATGATCAAAAATCACAGAATTTTTATTGATTCTTAATAAATGAGTAAAAGAATAATATAAAGGTGATTTTTTAAGAAATTATTGGCATAATTTCAAAGTTTTTAACTGTTAATAAATTAAACAAAAGTAAAGATATTTCTAATTAAATTTCTATATGATTATACATATATATTTTTTAGAATAGATTTAATATTTAGATTAAGTTTAAATCAATATCTCAATCCACAATGTTAGATTCTATTAATGATTAAACATATCACTAATAAATATAAATATAATTAAGTTAATTAAAGTCAAAGTGATATTTTATTTTAAGTAATAATGATTGATCGATCAAAGGCTACAAAATTACAGATCTTAAAAAACCTTTAATAAAAATTTTAGAAGATTGATCCAAATTTTAAAATCAAAAACTTTATAGGAGAAAAAACAAACCTAGTGGGATAATAAATTAAAAAGTGGGAAAAATAAAGTAGGGAAAGAACAGTTAAAGAGCAGAAAGTCATGAAAGTAATAAAAACTTTGCGTCATCCATTGATTCTTGAAAGTTATATGGAAAAATCAATATTTATGGAGGCAACTTAACCTGAAACATCATTTGATTTATAACCTCCTAAGTAAACTTCTTAAAGTCCATAAAATGAAGATACATTTGAGTATCTGATAAAAAAATCAATTAAAAAACCTTTAAGCCCACTTAAGTATTTTAATGTTAATTAAGGAAACTCTTTGAAAAATATTCTGAATTAGTTTAAGATTAATTTTAGAATTCTTCAGAAGAGATGAAAAAGCTAATTGAATAGCATTCAAGTTCAGAAAAAGTTCTAGATCCTTTTAAGTAAAAGACAATAAACTTTGAATATTTTACTCCTAGATAATTTTCAGTTACCAAGAAATATAAATAAAATACTCCATCCTTTAAATAAGAAGGCAATTCATTTAATAGGAAAAGAGACTAATTATTATAAAAAAATAATAATAATTTACAAAAATTAGATGAATTATAAACTGATTTAGACAAATTCAGAAAACATTTAAAAGAAATAAAAAAATCAAATTAATAAAGTTTTCATTAGAGATAATTTTTTAAAGGAAAACTTGATTTTTTATTATGATATTTATTAAATAATAGGGTATTTATTTGAGAATGATAGTAATATTTAAGCAATATTAAAAATAAATGAATTAATTTGTGAAAATTAAATATAAACACAAAAAAAGGCTAATTGGTTTATTATAAATGAGTTTAAATAACTTATTTATGCTTCTAATTAGCTGAGATAAATTGCTCAGAGTCAGCTCATCGATCATCTTATGATTTTTGAGTGTTACGAGTAGCATACATAATAAATAAACATATTGATATATACATATATTAATTTAATATATTAATGTAAAAATTTGTAAACTTTCAAGAAAAGCTTCAAAATGTTGTCAAATTTGAGTAGATAAGTGAAGAATTAGATAATCTTAAAATAATTGTAATAATTTTCGTACAATCCAATTTAGTTTTCTGAATTAATTTCAAGCTCATTAAACGATAATGAGAAGCTAAATATATACTATGAAATCAATTTAATATTAACAAGTTTGTTAGATTAGAAAAATAGATCAAATGAAGAAAATGACTAAATTAAGGATTTAATGAAAATCATGATGAATAATCTAGAAGTACAAGAAGTGATGTTTAGAATTGCTGATGAAGAAAGTATTTAAGAATATTAAATGTTAGCTAATTAAATATAGGAAGTAAGAAGCTTAAGTATCAATTATAAAGCATCGAAAATTGGTCGCTAATATATTACTTAGAAAGCAGAGTAACTATAATAAAAGGCTGTTGAGAATTAGACACTAAAATTAAATATGGATTTTCAATAAGAATAATAGATACAATTCAATGATAATATTTATGAATAGTAATCTAAAGAAGAATAATCATAAATTCAATCCCCACCTTCAAAGAGATATCTTGAAATAGCTTAAGATGAATTATCAGAATTAATAAATAGAAGTAAATACGAATTTGATTAAACGAAGATTGATTAAGTAAAATATATTTATTAAGAAAGGCTTTTGAATATGCAAAAAAAGCTCAAGATAAATTTAAATCTGATATAAACTATTAATAATATGCAGAATATGTAGATTAAATAATTGTATAATATAATTATATGATTGAAAATGTTAAAGAATTGGATTCTGATGGTTGGATATTTGATGGCTTAAGTAACGGAATATCTGTGAAATATAAATTTCCAGAAAATACTTCAACTGCTTCTATGCTAATGGAAACCTAAATTCCTGTAAATGCAATAAGAGTTTTAGCATTAGTAAATGAAATGGATTTAAATTATTTATGGGTTCCTTTTTGCAAAAGAACTTATGTTAATAAAGTTTTAAATAGAGCTTGCAAGGTTTGTACATCAGAAATGTATTTCCCTATAATTCCAGATAGAGAATGTGTTTTTGTTGGTGAAGGTTATGATAGATTATAAGTGAATGGAACTATTACATTATTATCAAGATCTGTAGATAATGATAAAGAATTTTTAGAAAAGAATGGAATATATATACCAGAAAAATCTAGGTTTGTCAGAATGTATATTAAATATTATATTTTTGAAATTACTCCTATTGATAAAGATTCATGTTCTATAAGAGCTTGTACTAATGTGAATCCTAAAATTTCTATGGTTCCAAATAGTGTTTTAGCTTATATTGGAAGAAAAGTATTAGTTTTATTTGATATTTTAGTTTGCTCATATTTTAATTTAAAAAATTGTGAATTTTGCAAAAACATTCGAAAAATCTCCTTTTTATCCTGTTTATTTGGAACATATAGAATTTTATAATTGGTTAGAAGAAAAATTAAAAAACCATCTTAAATATTGAATAATAATTTGTACTATTTAATATTTTTATTTTTATCTTATAAATCAAGCCAATTATTTTTAAGCTGATTATTTTAATTGTTTTATGATAGGAGCTGCTAATCTTTTTCTTTCAAAAGCTTCTTGAGTCAACTTAATTTATTCATCACTCAATGCTAATCTATGTCTTCCTATTTATTTTTCCATAGTATTAAAAAATGCTTCAGATCCAAAATCACTCAAAGCTACTTATTAAGTCATACTGACTAAATCATTTAAAGGAATATATCTTTTTAAATCATATTCAATATTACCTATATAAACGATCAGTCACAATTTTTTTTTCAAATAATTGCCAAAGCGAAGCATCTTTAACATTTATTTTACCACAAGTTCCAATAATTGTAGCAAATGAAACTGAATGATCTCTTGTTAAATTTGGAACAAATTCTTTCAATGCTGGTAAAACATATTCATAGAAATCTTCATCAGCATCTAAATCTAATTCATTTATTCTTTAAAAATATTAAATAATAACATGTTACCTTTAAAATGCATATGCTACTTAATGATCAGTTATAATATCAAGATTTTCTCTTATTAAAACACCAAATTATCTATTTGAGTATGCTCCTATTAAAGCATTTGACATTCTTTAATATGCATATGGATTAACATCCCAAATTGTTGGAATTTTTCCTTTATTTAATATTCTATACTACTTGCTTATGATAAATAAAATCTGATTGCTGCTTTTTGGAGCATTTTTAATTATTAATATTTATTATTATAATACTCATTCCTATTATATTGCCAAAGCTAAATTGGCCTTCTTCTATTCATTAGCTTCGTTTGAAACCTTCATTAATTATTATCTTAATGCATCTATTTCATTGAATGCATTTACTAAAGTCAAACTTAGAGCTTGTTCTTTTTATTCTAATTCTCTTTATTTTGACAATTATTCTTATAATTTATCAATTTCCTATAATATTTTAATAATTATAAATACATCTTAGGATTCTTCAAATAATTTATGCACTTATTCTAATTCTTTAGTTAAGCCTTGTCTTTATTCCTCAGAAGTATTCAATTTATTTCCTTATGCATCATATTTAACTCTCATTCTCTCTATTTCACTTGATAGCAAAGCCACTTTATTTTCTAATTAATACTTAAATTATTTAATAATTAATATTACCTTTTCTTCTTATAATTTTTCTATCTTTTTCTTTAACTCTTCAATTATTTATTCATAATTTTAATTGTTACTTACTTGTGTATTCAATTTTTCTATTTAATTTTTTAAATCAGCAATTTAAACTTATTATTAAGTTAAATCTATCTATAATTTTTGTGATCTAAGTAATAATAATATAAATAAAATACTCTGCTACTAAATCATTATTTTTATCTCTTAATTCTTCAATTAGATCTTATAACTTTTAAATATCATTTTCTTATCCAGCAATAACATTCTATAATTCAGCAATTTGAGTATTCTAAGCCTCTAAATTCTTATTGGAACTTTAGAGTTACTAATATTTCTATTCTAATTATTTATATGACTCCTCTCTTGACTTATTTTCTTACTCTTTCTAATCTAATTATTATTTAAGATTATTATTATCTAAAATTTATTATTTAGTTTCATCCTAACTAACTCTTAAGAGATGTTCTAAATTCTTATTAGCTTCATTAATTAATTATTATTCAAGATTTCCAATTTTATCTGCCAATACTTAATTATCTGTTTCTAATTATTTTAATTAAGCAATTTAAGCTTCCAAATCTACAATTTGCTTTTTTAATTATTCAGCTTCATTTTATCTACTATTTAATTTATATTAAAATCTTTCAACTTCAGTTGATAACATAGCTATTTTATTTTCTAAATCATTCTTTACTCTTAAAGCATCATTCAATTATTTATTTAATGTTTCATTTGCTTATAATTCATTATTATAATCTTATTAAAGTTTTTACAATCCTTCATCTAATATTTATATCTTATTTGGTAATTCACTAAGTTATGAAATTCGAGTTGAGAATTAAGAATTCTCAACATATAATTTTTCATTCTCTTTACTTAAATCATTGAATTAATTACTATAATCTTTTAATTATTTTTATAAGGCTTCTATATGTTATTGTTATTATTTATTTAAAGCATTTTATTGAGCTACTTCTTAAGCTATCACTCGTAGTTCATCTACTCTAATAAATTTAAAATAATTAATACTCTTTTTCTAATTATTATAATTAAATCAAATAAGAAGATAAAAGTTAATCAACTTTGTTTTTTTCATTCAAATTGCAATTAGCTTAAGCTTCTGCTGTTGTTAATTTAGTATTTAATTAAATTACTTAATTTTCCAAAATCTATAGTTTTTCTTATAAACCTTGGTTTTATGTTTCTTATTCTCTTAACTCAGCTGTTAATTATGAATTCTAAAATTTAAGATCAGGGATAGTTTTATCATTTTCTAAATCATAAATCTTTTTATTTGCTTCTGAAAGTTCTTAACCTTTGGTCTATAATAAGGCATTTAATCTTGAAATATCTGAAGCCTATGAATTATTTTTAGATTCTAAATTAGAAGCTTAACTTTAGAATTTAGAATTTTCTTGACTCATTTAAAGTAGTTTTTATTATAATTCAGCAACTAATTTAGCTTAATCTTATAATCCTGAATAATCTTTGGCTTGCAATCTCTTAAAATCAGATTGAGCATTAGTTAATTATTTTTATAATTCATTTATTTTAGCATGTAAATCTGTAATAGTTTACTCTTTCTACTTAAGATTTCCTTAGAGTTTATTCAATTCAGTCTTAAGTTAAATAACTTCATTTTCTGCAGCATTTCTAGCTTATTCATTTAATCTTAATTATTCTAATTATGAGAGCAATGCTGAAACTTTATCTTATAATTAGCCAATATCTTCATTTTTTAATTTTAATTGTTTATTTAAAGTTTCTCTCTCTTATTAGAGTAATTAAAGTCTATTTTCTAGATTAAATAATTCATTAAGTTATTATTCAGCTATTTATAATTTGCTTAAAGTTGTATAATATTACTTTCTGAATTAATCTAATTCTCTTTTAGTTTGATCAAGTTGATCCTTCAACTTTTAATTATCTAATTTCAAATAATTAATATTCTTTAATTCACATTCTTATTATGTGATTCTAAGAATAAACAAAATTAATACTTTAATTTAAGTTCATTGATCATTTTAATTCTACTTTCTAAATCTTATTTTAATTTATCATATTATTTTTCTTAGAATGCTAATCTATCTTCTAGATCAGAAATGGCAGCATCCTTAGATAAAAGTTATGATTATAATTGTAACATAGAATTAGTCGTTTCTGAACTAGTAACTATTTTTCTTTCAATGACTTCACTCACTTGTTATTATTATGATCTGACTGATCCTGATAAAGGATTATTTTATTCAAATTATCTAATGATTTCAAGTAGTTTGACTCTTTCTTATTATTAATCTTCATATAACTTTTTCCAAACATCAACATCTTTAATTAAACTATTTACTTAAGCCTTATAATCTCTAATAAGTAATTCATTTCCTTCTAATTCAATCACTCTTGCATAGATTTCTGAATTCTTCTTTCTCAATGATTCAATATCTTATGATTTTTATGATAATAAATCATTAAACTTAGTTACTTACAATCTAACTGTATTTAATTCAAAATTCTCATTTTCTAATTGTGTTAATCTTACTCTCATTTTTTCACATTCTGTTGCTTTCTCTCTAAGTAAAGCTGATATTTATGTATTGTCCTATCTCAATAGATTGATTCTATCTTCTAATTAAACTGACTTAATATAATAACCAAATCTTTACTTTTTCAGCAGCATATCTACACTTATCATATAATGATTCAAGCTCAAAATACTTTTTTCTCCACATGCTATGATCTTTTTCCATATTATAAATTTAAGCTTCTAATTGTTCTACTCTATCATCTTCCTTGTGCTCCATTACTACTTACTTATAAACTGCATTCATTGGAATTCCTTATGGTAAAGACATTGAAAGATATTTATTAAAATTATATATAAATATATTAAATTAATCATGATATTTAATTCTAATTTATTATTTAATAATATTACCTATAATTTATTTCGACTTAATTCATACTTCTCAAGTGTCTTTCTTGATTATTCCAATTCTTATTTTAATTTATTTACTGTATCATCAATCTAATTATTATTTTATATTTTGTATTATTCAAAATGTAAATCTCTAGAAGCAGAAGATTCTCCCTTACTACTCTCCTTTTATGCTTTTGGACTTGCTTAATTACTTTTCTTTGCACTACTCTTTTTTACTTCTCTTTATTCTTCATACAAAGGTACGTATTTTTAAAGCAAATAAAACAAAAAATCTAAAAGTATTTCATTTTCGCTAATATTTTATTCTGCATATTTTTTAGATTTTGCTTATTATTTCTCAAAATCTCTTTCATATTTTTCTAAATATGGTAATGACATCTCTGCAAATTTATCAAAGAATTCTTCATATTATTTTTATTCCTTTTCTAACTACTAATATTTTGATTCTGATTGACCTGTTTCTTTGTTCCTTTTCATTAATGTTTTTATTTATTCATCATATTTAAATTATAATTAATGTACTATCTCCTCATGTTCTTCTATCTTTGTCTATAATTCATCCTTCAATTCATCTATCTATCTTTATAACTATTTAATTAAATATTGTGACTCAGTAATACCTTTAAATTTCTCTCTTTATCTTCCGAATTTGTCAATCTCTTTTATTAATCCAACCTAGAATTTGACATATTTAACTCCAATTTTATTTTCCTTATCTCATTTTATAAAAAAGTCACAGTGGCATCCAATTCCTTTCTATCACTATTTATTTGAAGTAACAACTATCAATTAGAATTTGCTATATATACTTAGAATGTTGTTGAAAATTCAGATCTTAAATCATTTGCATTGTAAGTATCCTATTATGTATTTACTATTATTATACTAATAAATGATTAATTGTTGTTTCTGTATTAGTTATATTGATATCCCTTTATGTAAGCATTTAATTAAAACATTAAGCAAATAATTAGATGATCTTTACAACTAATACATTTTAATTTGCTTAAGGATTAACTATTACATTAGATAAAGTCTTTTCTTTTAATAAATAATATTTCTCTAACATATCTAAAGGTAATGCTATCAATTATTATTGCAAAACTAAATTACCTGAATACTTTAGCAATTATTCACATATATCAAGCAAACGTTTATATTCCATTTTATTTTCAAATTTTTTTAACTAAAATTATATAATCAATTTAGGGTTATTCAATTAAATATACAATTGATATATTAATTGGGAATCTGAATTCAAAAATACAAACTTATGAATTCAAGTCTATTAATTTCGAACTTGAATGACCAAAGAATTAAAGAAAAATTATTTATTAATTTATATATATAAATAATAATGAATCCAAACTCATTCAAACTCTATAAATCAATTTGCTCTGCAGTGACCTCAGCTGGTTTGACATTCACAAACTTTACAAACAAAACATTTATAGGGAGATCAGTTTAATATGTTGAGTATATGAATATTTATATTATTCAGCCATTTGATTTATACAAAGGCACCAAGATTATCATACATAGAACATTATGCTCCAGTATATACACCAAAAAGAGTCACTTATGCTGCTCCAATCTGTTTGGCTTTAGCTGGCACAGTGTTATTAGCTGAGGTATGAAATTAATAAATAAAAATTCATAGATTGCTTGGACCAATAATGCCAAAGAATAAGCAAATAATTATTTTATTGCAACAAGAGAATGAAATATATTATTTAGAAATAATAAAATATAAAATAATGAAATTTAAGCTCCTTTTTGTGATTTTAGTCCTATGTAGTACATAGGATATGCCAGATTAAGAATTTCCAAAAAAGACACCAGTAATTATGCTAAATGATAATAATTGAGATGCAATAACACATTTAGGTAATGAGGGATTAGAAAAACCATGGTTTATTTTCTTTTGGGCTCCATGGTGTAAAGGATGTCATAGAATAGTTAAAATTTGGGAGGAAATGGTTACTAATTATAATGGTACAATAAATATTGGAGCTATAGATACGTAAGAATAAAAGTTAATAAAGATATAATTAAGAACTTATTGGTGATAGGATTGGTATAACTAAATATCCAACCTTTGTATTTTTTGATACTGATAATAAGATGTATTTCTATAATGGTAAATCTCTATTCAATCATTAGAATCTACAAACATAGGTAATTTTACTTAATTTTTTGATGAAAAGAAATATCTTCATCTAGAACCTTATGGCACTCCTAAAGAAATTGATCACTTTAAAAAATGGTTAAGAAGTATATTTTCATTAAAAATGGTAATCGATTTTACTATTATTCAGGTTCCTGTATATGTGGTTGTTGCTAACATCATTATGCATTTATGGCAATAAGTAAGAAAAAAAAGATAAATCAGAAGCAAAAAGAGTAAAATTAGAATTATATAGAAAATTATTAGAGCAATAAGAAAGAGAGTAGTACTTCAAGATAAAAAGAGATTGATTTGTTAATAGATATATATATTTACATTTATTTTATTTTATTTATCAACCATTTACTCTCTTAACTCTCAATTATTATATTCAAAATTTGAAAATTAAATTAATACATGTTATTTAATTAATTGTTCAATTATATATGTACTAAAATATTTAAATGGAATTTGAAGATTATAAGAATGAAGAGAATTTGTTATCAGGCATTTCATATTAAACACCATCAAAAGATGGTACAGACTAACACTTCATTAATTCATTTTAAGTTTCCCCTACTTTTTAACAATCCTAATAAAAACAATAAGAAAATAATTATTTCAAATCCGAATTAATAATTAATCCTCATTATGCAGATTAACAATAAAAAAATAATGAACTTAGTTTTAGTTTAAATAATTAAAGCATCAAATAAGATAATTGTTTTTTTTAGCAAATATATGAAAAACTGGCTAAACTTGAAATGGATCTGAATAATTAATCTCTTCATGAATCATATAGCGACATTAAATCAAGTATCATGGAATTTTAGGTAAAATATTGTTAACAACTAAACTTCAATACATCAGATTAAATACCTGAATATCAAAATGTGTGTTTACCGTAAAGTAGTGAAAGCAAACATCTGAGAACTAGATCGGAAGCTAATCTTTTAACAAGAAATATCAATCCCAAAACAAAGATAAATGAACACTCAAATATTAGTCAAAAATTGTTTGATAGTAATATTTTTTTAAAATAGAGCGAAGAATACTCATTATTATTTAATATTATTAAATCTGATTTAGAAAATTTTGAAAATAGTGAACGTAAAGATTATGATTAAAGTATGGAATTGATTAATCATTATTATAAATTGAGAAATACTTTTTAAATCTAAATGTAGGAGAAAGATTATATCATTTAAAATATTTAGAACTATCTTGATTAGACAAATTTTACTATTGCTGAATTTGAAAAAAATTTTGATACATTAACATAAGGTCTTAGTTTTCATTCAAAAAATTTATAAGTAGAAACGAAAGAAGAATTAGTATCTCTTGTTATTTTAAAAATTTAAGAATTAGATGATTCAAAATTATAATTAGAAAAATAATTAATTGATTCTTAATAAGAATAGTTAGAATAATAAAAAATACAAAATCAATAACTTATGGAATATGAGAAAGTTTTATAATCTTATAAAAATTTAGATAATTCAACATAATTGCTTTTACAAGAAAAAGAAAATTAAGAAGTGATTATTAAATCTTTAAGTCAAGAAATATTAATTTTAAAGCAATATTCTAAAGATAACAAAATCAATTTTCTACGTTAAAATTTAGAATAATTAATGATATAAATTAAAGATTTTACTATTTTATCAACTAAATTACTTTAGCATATATTTAATTAAACAGGCGCCAATTTGTCTTTAAAAGATTGTAATCGTTTTAATGAATAATATAAGACTCTTTAAGATTATTTTTAAAGCTAAGATATTGGGAACATCGAAAAGTTATCTGAAAACTTTATAGAGTTTTAATCAGAGATTGAAGTATAAAAAAAATAAATTTGTATACAATTTTAAGGTTTAGTTTAATAGATTAGACTTTAAAGATAATAATTAATGGATACCCTATATATATGATTAAGCTATATAAATATATATATATTTAAAATACTCTCATTAATCAACTTCCTCATTGTTTTTCTGTCTTCTTTATGGATTGTTATCGTAATTTCTGTTGTTGTTTCTATTTTCATAGTTTCTCTATCCTCCTCTTTATGGTTTTCTAAATAGAATAAAAGTAGATGGTACTTGCTTCTAACTGTAATGTAATCATCTTCTTCTTGTTATTTTTCTTCCTAATTTTGTGTAGGTTATTTGTCAACTTTTTCTTCCCAGAGTTAATCTTATTAATAATTTCTGTCTCTATTATGATAATGTTATTTATTTCCTTTATATGGTCTATCGTAATTGTTTCTTCTGTCATAATTATTATTATTGTAATATTTTTTATAATTTTTTCTGTCATCATATTATTAATTGTGTCTTTGGCCTTCTCTTGTTTAAGGTAACTAATCTTAATTAGATTGTTAGACTTAATTTGAAGTATCCTCTTATGGTTATTCATTTAATGGTTATTATTCAATAAATTACTATTATTCAGTTTCAACAACTTCAGATTATTCAACTTATTTAGATGAAAGTTAGACTTCTTCTTATGGTGTTTAATTTGATAAGACTTATTATTCTTATTATTAAATAACTTATTGAACTTATTATTGAACTGTTTCTGTTTCATTTTATTCTTACTTAGGTTCTTACTCTTATTCTTTTGATTAAGTTTCAAACTATAAGTATAAATAATTTAAATACTTTCAATCCTTTCCATGGTTGATCTTTTTTGAGTTATTATCCAACTATTTTAGATTAAAATAATTTAGCCAATTCATGGGTAGATTCATGATCTTAAGCTAAAAGAGTGATTAATTAAGGATCTTAGGCGAGATATTGAAGAATTATANTTAAAATTTAGAATAATTAATGATATAAATTAAAGATTTTACTATTTTATCAACTAAATTACTTTAGCATATATTTAATTAAACAGGCGCCAATTTGTCTTTAAAAGATTGTAATCGTTTTAATGAATAATATAAGACTCTTTAAGATTATTTTTAAAGCTAAGATATTGGGAACATCGAAAAGTTATCTGAAAACTTTATAGAGTTTTAATCAGAGATTGAAGTATAAAAAAAATAAATTTGTATACAATTTTAAGGTTTAGTTTAATAGATTAGACTTTAAAGATAATAATTAATGGATACCCTATATATATGATTAAGCTATATAAATATATATATATTTAAAATACTCTCATTAATCAACTTCCTCATTGTTTTTCTGTCTTCTTTATGGATTGTTATCGTAATTTCTGTTGTTGTTTCTATTTTCATAGTTTCTCTATCCTCCTCTTTATGGTTTTCTAAATAGAATAAAAGTAGATGGTACTTGCTTCTAACTGTAATGTAATCATCTTCTTCTTGTTATTTTTCTTCCTAATTTTGTGTAGGTTATTTGTCAACTTTTTCTTCCCAGAGTTAATCTTATTAATAATTTCTGTCTCTATTATGATAATGTTATTTATTTCCTTTATATGGTCTATCGTAATTGTTTCTTCTGTCATAATTATTATTATTGTAATATTTTTTATAATTTTTTCTGTCATCATATTATTAATTGTGTCTTTGGCCTTCTCTTGTTTAAGGTAACTAATCTTAATTAGATTGTTAGACTTAATTTGAAGTATCCTCTTATGGTTATTCATTTAATGGTTATTATTCAATAAATTACTATTATTCAGTTTCAACAACTTCAGATTATTCAACTTATTTAGATGAAAGTTAGACTTCTTCTTATGGTGTTTAATTTGATAAGACTTATTATTCTTATTATTAAATAACTTATTGAACTTATTATTGAACTGTTTCTGTTTCATTTTATTCTTACTTAGGTTCTTACTCTTATTCTTTTGATTAAGTTTCAAACTATAAGTATAAATAATTTAAATACTTTCAATCCTTTCCATGGTTGATCTTTTTTGAGTTATTATCCAACTATTTTAGATTAAAATAATTTAGCCAATTCATGGGTAGATTCATGATCTTAAGCTAAAAGAGTGATTAATTAAGGATCTTAGGCGAGATATTGAAGAATTATAATATATGCTTCAATAGTAATTAATGATCCTTATTGTTCTGCTTCTTTCTTAGCATTTAGCCAATTTGTAAGTTGTCCTTCTAATTCTTTGATTTTTTCATTGTTTTCTTCTTTATTTTGAATCTTCTAGATCTATTCTTGTTTCAATTCTTTAGTTTTTTGTAATTCTTCAAGCTCTGCAATATCCTTGAGTTTCTTTTGGAGATTTCTATATTTTTTGGATAAAAAGTTAAAATAGAAGTCTTTCTCTTCATTTTTGACTGTATCCCAGATTGATTTGTTCTTTTATTATTTACCTCCTTTCATATTGTATTTTTTTGAAAAATATTTAAAAATTAGGAATAAATACTAATGAGGATATGAATAATACTATATATTTATAGAGTCTTCTACTCTGAGAGATTGAGCGCAACACATTCAATTAAACATAATAATATATAATGATGATCTCAATTCAAATATTAAGGCAATTGGAATGATTTGTACATATCATTAGCATACAGAATTAATTATTGATTTTCGGGTTAGTTGGAATACTATTTCAGCATATCCAATAAGCTGATGAGAAGAGGACTGGTTAATAATTTTTAAGACATATTCTCCTATCCTTTTAAAGACTTATAATATGAAACACAATCGAGGAGACATGTTACACTAAGACGAATGTATTCCTATCATAATTAATAATTATTGATACCACTGTTGGTGTTAATGATTTATCAGAGGTAGCTTAAATGAACATACATAAATCAGAAATTGTTTAATAGAGTGGTTGATATGGAATCTTATTTAGATTGAATGCATGTAGCATGCATAAATAACAATTTAATAAGGCATCATTAAGATTTTCATAATATTCTAATTGTGCCATATCCTTATTTTAAGTAAAGTAGATTGAAGCAGTAAATCCACTTTTTACTAATTGCCAAATGGCTTAAAAGTAAGGTTCTGCCTCCTATTCTGCTATAAGAACAATATCAGCAATGCAAACAAATAAGGCTATCTTTGCAACTCTATTCACTTATTAATCCTTTGAATTATTTAAAAATAGATTACATTAACACAAGCAATTAAATATTCTAAAATTCGTAAGAATTTGCTGAACTCTTTAAATTGAAGTGATCTTGCTATATCAGCTAAACATAAAATTGCTCCTTTGAAAGTCTCAATTTCCAATTTCTTTTATAAACCAATTTCTAAATAATTTTACATAAAATCATCCACAAGAGATTTAAAATTAATCTTGCTGTCTATAAAAATTTAATAAATATAATACATTAAGCAATAGCACTAATTGCATAAAAACCATCTTGAGTTACAGTTTATATTTTTTTGAAATAATCAACTATGAGTGAATAAAAGTTATTCATTAATTAAATATCACATTAATCTCCTAATACAACTAATCTTAAAAAACAAATATGAATAGCTGATAATAACCCTGAAATATTGGCTTCTTTTTACCATCCAATTTATGAATAAACTGCAACCATTTATTAACCAAAAGCAGATAAATATTTTTTAATAGTTTATGGTTCTTTTATACATTACAAGCAGTTAATGATACCAACCCAAGCTATATCAAGTAAGGTTCCATCTTAGAAATCTTATCTACCAATAACAATAGCAAATTAAGAAATTAGAAAATCATAATATTTACAAAATTAATTATTGGTATCATCTCTAAATGCTTCTGTTAAATTAACTAAAGTCCATAATAAATATTTTGTTAACTTATTATTTCCTTACAAAAATTATGAAAATTAATTAATGTAATCATCTGCAAATTGATGTTAAAGAATAACCAAAGGATAATTTTCAGCAATTCTTGTAATGACTCTTCCAGCAGCATATCTCACTTATTTATGAGAATCAGCTAATTTTTTAATGAATTCACCAATAGCTGAATTAGAGAATTAAGATAATTCTAAAACATCTGCTGTTTCAACCATTGATGAAAATGCTAATAATGAAGCCTTTCTATTTTACCATTCTTATGCTTAAAGTGTATCTAAAATAATTGAATAAATAAATACTTTCGACAAATCTTAAATAAAGTTAATAACATATATTTCCCAATGCTTCATTAATAGAAGATGCTGCCTTATAAGCTGCTTCTTATATTCCTTATTCTTCATCATCTTCTTCATCTTCATCTGAAATGAGTAGATTTTATAAAACAGCTTAGATTAATTACTAAGCAACTAATTATAGAGCTTCTTTCTAAGTTTTTCTGAATCCCAAGTTTGTTCTATTACTAACAGTTTATCTCTCATTTATTTCAGATGCTATACTCTACCATATTTCCATTGTAACAATTGCAAAATCTTTATGATAGATACTTTCTTATGTACAATTCCACAATACAGTAATATATTATTCTAATTTACATTTGAAACCATACCTAAATAATCAAAAATAGATTTAGTATAATCAATCAGGCATTCTAATGCTGCTAATCTAATTTCAGAATCTTAGGAGATTGCTGATTCTACCAATAATTTAGTGACATGATCTCTAACTTATTATTGTATCAAAACTTGATCCATAAATTATAAACTATCTTTCAATGCTCTTATTGATATTAACTTTATTTATTTCTCTCCTTATAAGCCCATACATATTCCATATAACACTTTTTCACTTTCAGTTTTATCTATCGATTATTTCTGATTTTTTAAAGCTTCACAAATATAACCAAGAGTTATAGTTGCCGCTTTTTTAATTTCTATCGATTCATGTCGAGTATTCTATACTAATATGCTAATGATTTCAGGCCATTCTTATCTTGGTAATTCTATTGCACATATTCCTGATAAACACTATTAATTTATTATACAACATTTACGCTTGCTGCTGATTTTTTTATATTTTGATCACTAGATATTAGTTAAGATAATAACTCATCTTTTATCTTTCTCTTTACATCTAATCCTATTGTTAACCATCCTTATTCATAACTAATACATCTCTGTAATAATGTCCCTGCTGCTACTCTTGTTTAAGAATCCAATTGAGTTTATATAAATACAGTGCTGCAATTTTAAAAAAACTCATTTGGTAATTGATGCTTCAAATTTACAAGCTACTACTCTGCTTAACTACGCTAATTATTTTCTTTTCCGAAAAATGCTGCCTAAATTAATTCGACAAATTCTTGCATTATTTTAAACACTTTAAATACTTCAATTTATTTTTTTAAATTTCATTACTTATATATTAAACTCTTTATAGTATTTTCAATAATACGATTAATTATCCTATATACTAACTAATTCTATGATTCAATCATTATCAAAGCATCTTCATTCACAATTTTAATCTTCATTAATCATCATTTTTGTCCATCTTCATCTCATTCAGCAACCAAATCTCATTTCTTATTTCTTAATTTATTTCTATTATTCTTTTAACAATCATCTCACAAAAATACCCAGTCTTTGAAAGGCAATACTCAAATATATATTAGCTGTAGATCATTGTATTCAATCCTTTTTTTATTATTTTATCCTTTAAAATTTCTTATTATATTGTTTATAACCTTGTTAATATAAAGGCAATATCATATGTAATATATATGTGCATATAAAAAATACTGGTTATTTATTTGATATAAGAGATTACATTTATCAAAATTAAGTTTTTCTCGAAAAATTAATTAATGATTTAATTTGACAAATCTTGATCAAAATGGCCTTTCATATATTTTTATAACTGGCTATTTTTAACAATTAATTTTTAATGATTATATTTAGATCTCTGCATGTTTATGAATTTTATTTTTCTTTTAATAATATTGAATATCATCTGAAATATAAGACATTATATTAATATCATTTTGAATTTTATAAAAACTTGATGCTTTTTAGAAATTTACCAATTGATTGAAACCACAATAATTAATGGATTTTCAAACAAAAAAAAGTAAATCAAAATTAAATTAATAATTTATAGAATTAAATTTTTCTAAGTCAAACTAAATTGTTATTGATAATCGCTCAACAATTTATAAATGCTAAAACTTATTTGTTAAATTAAAAAAATAAATATGATATGGTAAAAATGATGATAACATAACTTACAAAGTCTATCAAATATAATTGAATTTATTAAAACTGAGTCATTATACAACCTAAAGAAACAAAAGTTTTAATTTAATCTTATTTTTAAGTTTGACTATGAATTTTTACAGGGTGTTCTTGGAGGAAATTAAAATTCTTAAAATTACGAGAATATAATTATAACTGAAAACTTTAGGATTTGATATTTATAAGTAAGCTTAAACTATTTATATAATTATTTGATAACTTAATAATAAGTTAATTTAAGTATATGTATGAATGTAATATTTTAATGAAAAATATTTTAGGTTCCAGTTAAATCCTCTTAATAAATTGGAGGAAATTTTAAACAAAACCCTTATGCATCTCATACGATATTAAGGTTTAATAAATAAAAAATAAGTAATACTTAAAAAAATTCTGTTTTTTTAATATAAATAAAATTTCAGTACAATTTTATTTTTTTAAATAGACTAGTCATCATAGAAACAGAGAGAGAAAAAGCCTTTATATGTCTATAAATTTTATTTAAGAAAGTTTTCAACTTATTTAGCATTCTAAATCTATGATATGATTGAAAATGATATCTTATTTTGATCTGATAAATTTAAGAACTATTATTATTTAAAAAATTAGATAAATTTAACTTTTAATCTTACATCACACACTTATTAAAATATATGATAGGGCTAGATGAAAATATAGAGATTAGGAGTATGTATTTTAAATTGAAGTATAAATAAATGAATATCTCATCTAATTTTGAAATATGAGTTTTGTTACATAAGGATTAATGTAAAGTTACTAGTGATTTAATAGGTAATTTAGATATTTTCTGACATCAAACATTAATATAATATATTTTTATGGAACTCGAATAATAGTAATAACCAGTTAATTTAAAAGAGCTTAATTTATCTCGATTATCTTAGTCAAGCATTAATATAGAATTGTAAGAGGATTATTATGGAGGCTTATCAGGAAGATCATTGGAATTAAACTTAAGAGAATAGTAAGAAGTTAATGAATTTAAAAAAAAAAATCTCCAAATTGAGTTATCAATAGTTGATTATTTGAGTTCTTTAAATATCAAAATGAAAACAGATCCAAATGCAAAGAAAGATAGATACTTTTCAAACTTAAGAAATTAATGCAAACGTAGAGCTTTCACATAATTGGAAATTGAAAGAGATTTTTCTGATAATACTCCAGATACAATACTTAAAGGTTCATAGGTTTCAATTTCTATAAATCCTCTATTAGAGAAACGAAAAACTTAACTGAGTTTTGTTAGCACTAATTAAAGTATTTAGAGTCAATAAGTGATTTCAATATTATAATAAGAAGGAAAAAAATTGTAAAAGCAATAATTATATGAATGTGAAGAGATGGATAGCATTATTTCGAATTAATCACTTAATTAAATTCAATGATATTTATTTTTATTTTTGCTAAACCCCATCTTTTAAACTCAAAACATCGATAATTTATATTATAATTTAATTTTTCTTTTTAAACAAGTATCCAATAATAAATTTTATTTATAGAATACTTATAATTGATTTTAAAAGGTAATTACTTAAGTTAAATACTTGAGTAATTTCTTAACTTTATTCAATAAATTTAATAAATGAATTTAATAGCAATATTAAGTTATTAGAAATAACTATAACAATAGAAAAAGTAAAAGAATAAAAAAAAACTTAAAAATTAAAAACAGCAAACAAAATGTGATAACTTAATTGATATAAATTTATTAAACCCAGATTTATAAAATTACCAAATTTCATAGAAAATTAAGGAACATAATTTTTTGGAAAATCTTCCAAATAATTTACAACCTAAATAAACAATTTATCTAACCACCTCAACCCAAACAGATTACATAGAAGACTTCGAAGTAGTAATTCCTGAAACTGAAATTCAAAAAATAAAATATTCTTATGAAAAATTATTAAGACTAGAAGAATTAAAATAATAGTATTAAGCTTGCTCAGAAATAAATGAAAATCAAGCAATTGATTAAATAAATGCATAAAAATTTGAAATAGAGAGATTACTACTTGAATTAGATTAAATACCATAAATTAATTATGAAGCAGACTTGAATGCATAACAAAAAGAGTTGGAATCTTTAAAAAAAAAATATTCAGAATTAGAAAAAGAATAAGAAATGCTTTAATAAAAAAATAAAATGTTGTAATAAAACTTAAAAGAAAAATTAGATCAAAATCATTGACTATTTAATAACAACAAAATATTTATTATTATAATTACCATAAGAATTTTTTTATTTTGTACTCTTAATCTTAAAACTTTGTACTCCTAATCTTAAAACTTTGAATAAGGTTAAATTGTTATTTAATTTCTATATAAAATATTTAGATACCTTATTAATTAAAAAAATTCCTATTATATGCTTATTATAATCATCAATTAATATTCTTATAATTTTATAATAGATAAAATAATTTTATGGATGAATCAATATAATAATGAAAAAAAAGAGGAATAATAATTTTAGATTGATAGAGAGATAATTAGAAAAAAATATATAAAGTACTTTACCTAAAAAAGACAATATATAAGAATTTGTTATTATTTATAAAAGTTTGAAAAAGAGAAATAAATGAAATTTTTGTAAAATAAGAATTTTGAATAATGTTATATCATCTTCTTTTTCCTTTTCCTGTTCCTGGCATTCCTCCCATACCTCCCATTTGTTTCATTAAATCTTAGATTCCATCCATTTATCCCATTTATTTCATCATATTCATAACATTTTCCATTCCTCCTAATTTTGAAAGCATGCTTGGATCAATAGCTCCTTTCATTTTTTACATCATTTATTATGGATTTCTTTTAAGTTAATCAAATTCATTTCCTCCTAAATACATCAATAATATAAAATACTTTTTCCTCCTAAATTAGTCTTAGCTAAATTGCCAACAACTTTAGATAATTTTTTATGTTCATCTAATAAAATATGAACTTCTTCTATGGATGTACCAGATCCTTTAGCAATTCTAACAATTCTACAGAAATTTAAATTTCCTATTAAATTATAATAGATATATATACCTTCACCATCTAATTCTTCAGATGTCATAGAATTCATGATACATAAAAATCTTTGAATTCTTTTAATAGATTCTTTTTCATTTCCTTTAGATAAAACAGAACTACCCATTCCAGGAATAGCAGACATGAATTAATTTAAAGATCCTAATTTAAGAACAGAGTTAAATTATGTTTATAAATCTCTGATAGAGAATTTACCTTCTTTTAATTTTTAAATTAATTATGGTTAATCTCTCATATTAACAACATCTTTAACAGATTAAAATAATTTATTAATATCTCCTAAACCTAATAATCTTCTAACGAAAGAAGATGCTTCAAAAGATTCTAAATCATCGAAATGTTCTCCTTCTCCTATAAATACAATAGGAGATTCAGTAGCTGCTACAGCTGATAATGCTCCACCACCTTTAGCATGACCATCTAATTTTGTAATTATTACTGATCCTACATTTACAGCTTTCTTAAATGCCAATGCTTAATCAAAACAAGCTTATCCTATTGAAGAATCCATAACAAAAACTATATCATCTGGTTTAACTGCTGCTTCTACTTATTTCATTTCTTCAAACAAATCATTTTCCTATTTATGTCTTCCTGATGTATCTACTATAATTATTTCAAAGGCTTCTTTCTTAAATACATTCACACCCTCTTATGCAATCTATACAGGATCAGCTTCTGTATATGATCTAAATTTAATATCAAATGATACCCATAAAATGGTACTCTCACTTTCGTAGCATTTTATTTTAATTAATCAAAAGCACCTGCTCTAAATGTATCTGCACATACTAATGCTACTTTCCATCCTTTCTTTTAGTAATAATATGCATATTTAGTACATGTTGTTGTCTTACCAGATCCTTATAAACCAACAAACATTATAACATTTTATTTTCCTATTAATAATTTATATTTATTTTTACCCTTTTTTGGTTAAAATGGTTTTCTATCACTCTCTAACATTCTTGTTAATCCATCGACTACTGATTTCTATATCAATTTTTAATGATTAACATTCTCTTCTTAACATAATTTAAATTCCATCTTAACATCTTCTCTTAATTTTTTTATAAATTTTGCATTAACATCTGCTTTTAATAAAGCCATTGCTATTTCACCTAAAATTTAATCCACTAATGCTTCATCTACTACTGGAGCCTTATTTAGTTTTTAAAGTGCTGCATTTATTGATTTTCCAAGTTCTGCAAGTACCATATATATTAAAATATGATTATTAATAATATAATAATCTGAACACGTAATTTAATAATTGTTTTATAATACCATCATTACTTAAATAGCAATTATAATTTAATTAAGTCTTACTCATTTAAACATAATCCATTAATTATTATTGAATTTCCTTATAATTTGAATGGTAGATGTTTCATATTTAAATGTTTTAATGCCAAACTATCTTAAACTATTCCTCTCATCTATGGTTCATAAATCATTCTAAATTTCAAAGCATTCTAACTACAATCATCCTATTATCACATTTCATCATTACCAAAATCACTTTTTTCACTTCAAGTCTCTTTTCAAATTTTTAATAATATTCATATTTTCATTCTCTTCAGAACTAAATATCTTTTATAATTCAATTTTTTACATTAAATTAGCCATCTATTCTATACAATCTATAACCATAATTTATTGGATCTTCATTTTTTATTGGATCATATACTTTACTACATTCATTCAATTGTAAAAATACAATTAAATGTAATTCAGCTTTGTTATTTCTATTGCTTTGTATTGCTTCTAATATCGAACCATGTAAGCTACTTTCTTTTTATGTTATAAATGATTATTCTTATCCACTTATCCCTGATATTGATTTCGAATGATTTTAATTAAAACTCAATTGATAACTATTCCATTCACAAAATGGTTTTTTTACAATTTAAATTGGGTCATCAGAAGAATCATATGTCTCTCAAGGATTTTAAATTGTTTAAATTGGGTATTAAACATTTTTTGGACTCTAAATTGGAGCACATATTTCTGATCCTAATTTTGAAACTATAGGTATTTAAAATTGTGTTCTTCCGTGTTGATACTTTTAAGTTTTCTTTATTGTATCAATTGAATCACTTCTTTATTTTTAAACTACAAAATTTTCATCAATAAAATCTTTTAGTTTATTTATCTCTATTTATAAATCTTACAATAATTATTCTGAATTATTTTGTAATTTTTTCTATATTTTGTTTTCGAGCTAAAGCAATATAATTTTTAAATTTTATAATTGAAACAAAAATTCTTTTTTATCTATTTAGGAATCTTCTTATTTATTTTTTTAAAGAGTAATACTATGTTCTTTTAATTATTTTATTAGTTCTATTATTTTATCCTTATTTTTTATGATTTATTTTTGAATCTCATCCATTCTTATATAACTATTTTCAATTTTTTTTTTCTAATCAAATTATTATCCAAGACAAATTTTTTTAAATTCTTATTTCAAATCCATTATCATATGATCATAATATTATTTTCCATATTTAAATTTGATATCTCTCATAAAAATTTCTTTATCTTATAAATACATTGTTAAGAGATTTTGCACTTCATTTTCAATATTTAATCAACTATAATTTAAAAATTAGATAATTAAGATTGAATCTCTTTCAGTTACTTTTTCATTTTATCAATTTCAATTAACAATTAGCTTTTATTATAAGAAAATGACTTAGCCTAAGTTGTATTTTAGATTAATTCCTTTTATTATTCTTCAAAGTATTTTTAGGAATAATTTAATTTAATTAAATTTTAAATAATACAACAAAAGTTTTGATGCAGAATATTTAAACATTTTATGGTTTAAACTAATAATCCTTGTTTAGATATTAATAAATCTTTTGGTTAATGGATTATGTTTAACAAAATCTGATCAAAAGACAAAACTACATTCATTAAATGTGGTTATAATTGAACTTCTATTAAATATTATTTTTTCTCTTACAAAACACATTAATACTTTCCAACTTATATTAAGTTTTCAGATTCTTTCAACAATAATTACTAAATTCTTATCAATTTTTCAAAAGGGATGGCCATCTTAATCATATCAACATCAAATAACTGTCGTAACTTTAACCATTACTATTAACCTCCTTCATCTAGTAATTTGCATACAGAATCATTTTACTACTATTTCTCTTTAAGTTTTAATAAGATTGAAGCATAATTTGATTATTTTTCTTAAATTAATTAAGCTTTTATCTCAAGTTCCTTTTAATCATTAACATTTACATTGAGAGTCTAAGAAAATTAAGGAATGTTTACTTATTTCGTTTGAATTATCTTTAATTAAAGAGATTATATAGTCTTTTTCCTGTAAGCTTATTAGAGTAAAATATCATTTGGATTAGAGTATAAAGCATTAGATATTTCTTCAGATTCAATTGCCAAATAATACTACTATAAATTAGTTGATTCCTCATCAGCTTTTAAGATATTTAATTAATTATGATAGTTTTATCTATTTTGTTCAGTCTTCTATTACTGTAGTTATTTTGGGTTTCTTTTTTAAATAGTTTCAATTAATTCATCTATTTGTAAATACATTGATTAAATAATAGTAGAAGTTGCATCAAATTAGGAAGTGTTTGTTTCTAAGTTCATTACTTTTTATTAAAATTTAGCAGTCGATATTGCATTTTTTGGAGATTAGAGCATGATATATAGTAATTTAAATTCCTAAATAATTCTGTTATATTTAATATTTAATGAGAACTTCATAGAAAGTTTTTATTAGATAAATCAAGTATAAATTATTGTAGACAAGATAAGAAGAGCCTTTATTTAGTTTAAGATAATATAATAAGATAACTATAGGCTAAATAAAATTATATTTTATAATTTATTATTTGACTTAAATGTAAAATTCAAACAAATCTAATAGTTATTTATTATAAATGGAGTTCAGAAAAAATCATCTAAATTAAATTATTGAGGTTGATTCATTAGTTCATCTTCATCATAAATTATAAGTTGAACTAATTGCCTATTAATAACCTCTTCTGCTTCATTTTGAATTTAATCTTGTAATGGTGTAGATATAGGTATTAATGTTCTTTATTATGCTTTGAAAGATTTCTTTTAAACTATTGGTGATAGTGGATTGAATTTTTAATGATGGGATCTACAAAATAACATTATTTTTACCTACACTAGCTAGGTGATCGAGTTCCAATGACATCACTCATAGGTTTAAATATTTTATTGTTTTTCTTAATGTATGCATAATCTTCAAGAAATCTCAAATATTTTTAATGTTCATCATAACTCCAATGGCCAGAATTCTTTTTAGGAGAAAATGATTCGCTCTTCTTAATCTTTTTAGATTTTGGAGATTTTGTATAAGAGAGCTCTCCAGAATCCTCTAAATCTTGTTAATAACTTGAAGAATGAGACATTAATTTATTAAACAAACAAATAATTTATGATAAGCTATATTATATAATAAATAATTATTAATTGTATTGAATAATAAAAAATAAAATAATTAATGAGATCAATCTCCCCTAATACATATTAATCAAACTAAGATTCTTTTACATCTTACCCATAATAATAAAAAGCAATATTGAAACCTCTTGTTTATGAAGCTGTTCATGTACCTGTAAATGAATAGATTCTACATACAAATAGCATTAGATTAAATATGTCACCTACTCATATTGCACCACCATCTGGTTAAACTGTTTACCGTACTTTATAATCAACTAATAATTAAATACCTACTTAAACTATTTAATAAATTTAAAATATCTAAACTTTTCCTTAATAAAAATTATAAACTTCTGTTGCAGAATTCTAAGTCCCATAATCATAATCATAAGAAACATACTCATCTACAAAAAGTGATGATCGATTTTATAGAGAAATAGAAGATAGAATCAGAGTTATTAGAAATGAAAGTGATTCATGGAAATAAAAATTTATTATCAGTGAAAATGATAAAGTTAAATAATTATAAGATATGGAAAACCATTATAAAATGGAAATACATAATTAATCTTAACAATTAAAACAATTTTATTAAGTAACTATAAATGATTTGAATGAAGAACTTAAACATTTATAAAGAGAACTTGATAATTCAGATAGAGAAATTGAAAAAGCTAGAAAAAAATGTCATTCATTAGAAATGGATTAATTTGAATTAAAAACTTAAATTGTTGATGCTAATGCTTAAAAAGATCAATCCTAAAAGGAATTGACCAGAATGACTAATCTTTATCAAAAAATTAAAATTGATATGGATGAAATGAAAACCTAATAAGATTTTATGAAAAAAAGAGTTGTCAATGAATAAGAATTAGAAAAACTTAAAGAAATTATTAATCTACGAGAAAATGAAATTGATGATTTAAAATTGAGAAACTCTTAATTAGAAATATTAAGTATAGATGTTCGAAAATTAGACACTTAAAATCATGAACTTCAAAATTAATTAGAAATACTCTAATCATAAATTTCTATCTATGAAACTAAAATTATAGAATAAAGAAATGAAGTTGATAATTTAAATTCTATAAATAAAAGACTTAATAATCAATTACAAGAAAAAAAAAATCATGACAAACTTTCTAAAACAATTTATGAATAAGAAATGTTCAATTAATTAAATTAAGCTTAAGCTCTCTCACAAGATAAAGATAATCAAATTAAATCTTTAAATATTTAGATTTCTCAATTGTAATTAAAGTATGATTAATTATAATCACAAATAATATCAATAAGAGAAAGCTATGAATAACAATTAACTGAAGCAAGAATGAAACAAGGAAAATTTGAATAAGAATTTCAAGATGATATTACTTCAAAGTTTTAATTAATGTCAAGAGAAATCCAACAACTTCAATAAGAAAGATAATAATTATTGAATGATTTATCCTAATAATCATAATAAAAGGTATTTTATTAAATAAAAATTTAAGACTCGATAAGATTAAAAATTGCAATAGTAATAAAAAGAAATCGATAATTTTAATTATTAATCTTCCTTAAGAAACAAAGAACTAGTTGATCATAAAGAAACAATTAATTAATTAACAAAATAAGTAGCAGCCATTTCAAAAGAAAAATAAATCTTATAAGAACAAATTCATGTAAGTCTTATCTAAAAATTTTAGAAATTACATTATTAATATTAAGACTTTAACAAAGTTAGCTATTAATATGAAAAAGTGCTTTGTAGCATTGAAATGGAAGCATTAAGAGAAAGATTAGATAATGCACTTTCTGAAATCGAGACAATAAAAGCTAATTAACTTTCTATGTATAAATTTTCCTGATGATAGATTAGGATAATTCTATATATATTAACTTTATAATTGCTTATATATTTATATAAATCAATTTATTTTTGAGTGAATTTACTTAGGTGGATTTGTATTGATGTTCTTTTTCTCACTTAAATCGTTATTTTATTTTTCTATCAACTTATCATTCTTGCTTTAATCATCTAATGTTTTAATATTAAGTTTAGTTTATTCCAATTATATTTACTCTTATACATTTTATAATTTTTTTCTGGTGTGTAGATAGAGTTTTCTCTTAATTTCAGGTTCAATTTAAGCTTCATAAAAATCTCCTGGCTTTAAACCCATAAGTTTATATGGACCATAACTCTGTCTTATTAATCTATTTACTCTCAAATCAAATTTCTACATAACCTTTCTAATTTCTCTATTTTTTCCTGATTCTAATCTCATAATAAGCCAAGTATTTCTTGACTATCTAAATTTAAATAGATTTCTTACCTGTTTTCAACATTAATCCAATATGGACCATAATTTACACCAGCTATAGTAACACCATTTCTTATTTTTTTTAACTTTTCTTCTGTAAAAGTACCATAAACTCTTACTCTATATGTACGTTATAATTTTGTTTCAGGTAGTTCCATACATCTAGCTAATTCTCCATCATTTGTAACTACAATTAAACCTTCAGAATTAAAATCTAATCTTCCTACTGAAATTACATGTTGATCTGTTTTTAATCTAAGTTTTGCAAAATCATAAAATGAGGGTCTTTTAAATGGATCATTATGAGAGCATATCATACCAACAGGTTTGTAAAAAATCCATACTTTCTTTAATAATAAATTCTGATTACTGTTGATTGCTTTACAGGCATTCTCTCTCCATTTTTAGTAAATACTTATATTTTATTTTCAGATGTAACTGGTATATTACTTTCAACTTTTTTTCCATCAACAAGTATCATTCCAGATTAAATCATTTTTTCTGCTTCTCTTCTAGAGCACACGCTTGTTTAAGCCAAGTATTTACTTAATCTCATTGGTTCAGATTGAATTAAATTTTATTTTACTAAAGGTTACTTAGCCACTTGAGAAGTCTTGCTAATGAGTTGCGAAAATGCAGCAAAAAATTTATTTATAATCATTAATATTATTTTAAAATGAACAATAATTATTATTAAAATTTAATCAAATTTTATTAATCACATAATTATATGCCAAAATTTATAAACATAAATCTATCTATAATATTTTCAATCAAAAGTAATTTAATTATTATTATTAATGAATTATTATGATTATATTAATTCGATGATTAAAATAATCTAAAAAATAATTATATAAATAATAATAGACTTTTAATATGCCAATTTAGATTCAATAGAAGGAAAATATATATTTATAATAATAATTAAAAAAAAAATACAAATATAACAAAGTTAATCTTAATCAAATTAATTCAATTTTTTTTTTTAACTAAACATTTAGTTGTTCCTGGAAATTAATTAAATAAAAGAGGTTATTTATAATTTGAATTTTTATTAGAGTGTAAAGATAATGATAATCTTTTCTAAATATTTTTAGTTTTTTATTCAAGTTCTTTTTCTTATGAGTGTTATTTTATACATGATATTTATTATAATACTTAACTTTTCATTTTCGAATTATGATACATTTCTGGTTCTGAATTGAAATTCATAGAAATTTATTTTCCTTAATCCCCTTATTTTAAAGGATTTTTTTTCTTTTTATATTATTAATATTCATTTTAAATATATTGAATATGTTAATGTCTAATTTTGCTGGGTAATCCCTCTAAAATAAATACATGCATCAAAGCATCTATAGGTTTGATTCTTTTTTTTGGATTCCAAACTAAGCATTTTGTTAAAAAATCAATAAATAAGTTATCATTACATTTTAAAACACTGTTCAAGTTTTTGCTACCAGGTATTCTTACTTTTCCTCTTTTATTTTAATAATTTAATGGTTTATAGGGATGATAATCTTTAAAAAATAATTTTCTCCTTTCAGCAAACTTATTAATAATAAAATTGATACGAAAAGCATTTCTGAATCTGGAGGACCTAGCAATTCTAAAAAAAAACTAATCTATTCTTGTTCATTTTCACCTGGAAATAAAGGATATCCTAGATACAATTCAGCCAGAATGCAACCAAAACTCCACATATCAATACTTTTATTATAAGGAATTCCTAAAATGACTTCTGGAGCTCTATAATAACGGGATTAAATATAAGCATAAATTCTTTAGTCTTCAAAACAACTACTTCCAAAATCTATTATTTTAATGCCACTTTTATTCTGATTATTTAGTAAAATGTTTTCTGGTTTTAAATCACAATGAATTATATTTTGCTTATAAAGAAAACTTAATGAATTTAATATTTATATAGCAAATCTTCTAATTAATTCTAATTGGAGTCCTGAAAAATTATTCATTTGAATAAGGTCATATAAATTTATTGAAAGTAATTCAAAATTCAAACACTTAAATTATCTTTAAAATTTTACCATATGATTTCTAAAAACAAAATAATCTTTAATCTTGATTATATTTGTTATATTTTCAGGATCTTTTTCTTTAATATATGTTAAAATTTATATTTCTATTAAAGATTAATCATAAGACTTCTTTTTGTTTCTAATAATCTTTAAACAAGAAATATTATTTTTCTAATGATCAAATACTTTAAGTGCTTAGCCAAAGCTTCCCTTTCCTATAACTTCTAAAATTTCAAACCTATATGCTATATGATCACTAATATTTATTATATATTCTCCTTTTTGATTGTCGAATCCTTCATTAAACGACGTCATCAAGTGTTTTGGTTTGTTAATAGTTTAACCTATATAGTAGATCTAAATTTAATTATTTTAAATTACATCCTTATATGATAATATTTCTTATTTTTCAAATTGTGTTAAATAGTTGCCATATTATTTTAAGCATCCATTACTATTTAATGGAACTTTAATTTTTGACCAGTCCAAAGGTTTTTAGTGTTTAGGTGATTCTGATTCATCTAAAAAATGGGATTAGACTTTCTAAATGATATCAATATAAATTTTTACTTATAATGAGTGCTAATCTTTGAAAGATGACTTTTTAACTTTTCCATAGATTTAATATAATGATGGATATGGAAAGTTTTTTATAACTTTAGCTTCTTGAACTCTCTCAATAGAATCATTCTTTTAAAAATCATTATGATCTGTTTAGATTTACTTAGTTTTTTTCTCTAATTTTAACTAATAATTTTATATATGAAAATGTTATTTATTAGAGTTTTAGAGCTTTTAATCTTTTATATTATTAAGATTCTTTTAGATTTCAATAGAAGAACCTGATTTTTCTATAAAATTTGATGTAATTTAAGTAAGTTTTTTTGATGTTTAGGAAATGTGAGTGGATAAATTTATAGAGGGAGTAATTTTATATGAAACCTTATTATAATTTTCGAATAATAACTCGATTATTAAGTCTTTTCCTAGGAGATGTACTTTCATGAATAAAGAATTCTGGCTAAAACATACTTTTTTAATTGTCTCTATTCTTTGTAGTTTAAGGAAATCCATATTGATTAGAATCAAAAGATAAGTTCTATAATATTATATGAGTGTTTTACAATAAATTTTCTATCTTATTAAAATAATCTAGACCTCATTATTGTTAAAAATAATTAATATTTTTATATATTTATTTATTCTTGATCATCTGAAGACTTCGTTTAAATATTTCTTCTCATCAAATAGTTTTTCAATTGATAATTCTGGAATTTCAACTTCTTCCCATTTACCTTCTCTATCAAAAAGGTAAAATTCATTTTGCTAATTGTTATAATAAATCATATCATAATCGACTCTGATAGTGTGCTCAAATAAATTAAATCTACAACTCTAATTGTAATCACCAAATGTAACAGGAATAATATTTTAAGGAACAATCTATTATAATAAATAATTGAAACATATTTAGTATATAATCCTGAATGCGCCATACATTTTAATTACAATAGATTTGATTCTTTTGAGTATGACATTCCAACAACAAAATGTTTGCCATGATCAAATAAATATCTTTCAATAAAAATTGGAACAAGTTAAAAGTATTCTTTAAATGGTACATAAGATTATTAAAAATTGTTTAATTTTTAATCTAACAATATAATTATATCAGAAATACCTGAAATTGATGACTTGTATAAAGGAATCAATGTGTTTTGATTAATTGAAGAAATACTGACTTTATTAATGAAATGATATCTGAACAAGGATTTCATTATTTAATATTAATAATATAAATATTTATAATCTTTTATCAATATTTTATATTGATTTGGAAATGTAGTCTATTTATTTATGACCTTAAGTGTTCTTCCAAAGATCCACATTCTCCATTTAATATTTCCTAATAAATGTCTAAAGCTTGCTGAAGCAATCCAAGTTTTTCATTTGTCTCTGCTAATTGAATCTCAAATTAATGAATTTCTTCTGTAAGCAAATCTTAAATTTTAGCCTAAATAATGGCTTTTTGTAATAATTCTTTAGCTGTCAAATATTCTTCAATATTATAAAATTCTTTGCTTAAACGAACCATTAAATGTACTTAACCAGCCTATTAAAATATTTAAATATGATACATCAGTTTTATTCATTTCTTTTAAAGCTGAATTAGCATCTCTAAATCTTTGACCATCTTTTAAACAATTTAAAGCTATATAACCCCAAACTGTATCATTAGTTGGTTCATAAAGATTAGCCATTCTTAAAGCATTTTCTGCTTCTTTATATTTACCACACTCATGTGAAGAAATTCCTAATCCCATCCAAGCTAATGATGAATTTTCTTTAATTTAACAAGCCTTTGTAAATACAGCACGAGCATTACCATATTGTTTCTCTTATACATAAATTGAACCTAACATCAAATACATGCTGAAATAGGTAATAGGGTCTTCTCTCAATTATGGATTCGGTAAAACAAATTTGATCTATTTCTCGCATTTTTCAAAAGATTAACTCTTAAACAATACTTTTATATATTCAATACGAATTCCTAAGTCTTCAGGATTAAACTCTTTAAAATATATAGAATAATACCTAACATATTTTCTATTAGATCTAAACATTAAGAATATTCTGATTTATATAAAAATATCTTTGCTCTAAGCATAGCAATTTTATTATGGGATTAATCATTCAAAAGAGTTAGTGACTATTCAGCTAATTCATAGAGAGAAGCATTCTCAAAGAATTCAACTAATTATAGAATCATTTGATCTTATTATTATTCACTTAATTATGGTTAATTATGAGCATTTTCCCAAGCAATTCTTTGTTGTTCTCTTTATTCAAGAATTGCTTTGTCTTTTTCAGGTTTATCTGGTACTGGAATAGGTATTTTTATCCAAGGTATATCAAATAATTATGGATCATCATGATGCATTCCTTCTTATTTAATTAGATTCACTTGTCTCATCCATATTCTTTCAGCTTTTTTCATCATGAAATCAGCTAGTTCTTACTCTTATGAATTTATTATAAGACTATAAAACAAATGATAAATTAAATTATTTGGATCCTGATCTAATAATAATTCCAAAATAAATTTAGCTTCTGAAATTTTATCTCTTTTCTAATACAATCCTGCTAATAACAATTAGTTTTATTAATTATGACCATCAAAAGAGAGTGCCTATTCAACAAGAGTTACAGCTTATTCTATTTTTCCACATCTAAGACAAAAGAAAGCAAATTTCATTAAAGAATCTTAATCTTTTGGATTAACTAAATTTAGATCTCTTAGATGTTTTTCAACTTCTTCAGTTCTATTTAAAATTTCATATTCTTAACATAATCTCTCAAGTTATTGTTTTCTTGTTTCATTTGTTTTTTCTACAATTATTTCCTAAAATCCAATATCTTAGATTGTTTTTTTCTTCGATAGTAAATGAGAGAAATCTTCTTATAAAGCTTCCTTATTTTCTCTTACCATATTAATTAATACTTATCTCATTTCTTCCATTAGAAATACATAAAGTTCTGAATAAAATTAATCAGATTATGTTGTTGAAATGCCTGTTACTGAACCAGATTTTCCAAATTTATCTCTACATAATTTAACTATACTTTTTTTTATTCTTTCCTTTAAAATTTTGTATTTTCCTGATATGTTAAAATCATATAAAAAGTGTTCTTTTCTTTATTAAAGTGATTGTTTCTTATGTGTCATTAACATATTACTTTATTTTTCATTTTAATATTTATTAAGATCTTTTGAAAACATATTCGAATATTCCATAGCTAAAGATTCTATGATTACTTATAAATCACTCCTTAATTCTTCAATACATTATTAACTCAATGGAATAGGTTAAGGTTCAGGTGCTAGAGGAATCAAATCCTAAAATGTTGGTTATGGTTCTTATCTAGTTGGAGTTATTGGTAAAGATAAGTTTACTTTTAGATACATGTACATAGTATCAATATTTGGCTTTGGCGTTTCTGCAGGAGATTATTCATCCATATATTAAGTAAACTTGATTCTTTAAATTATTTCAGTTTGACCTGGAGTTTAAAATGGTAAATAATCTATCCAAGCTTTGAATATTATGATATTTAAATCATTTATATTTAAACTCTTAGGTTTTGTTTTCTTCAATTTTGCTACTTCTTCATCTCCTGGAATTGGAGATTTGTATAAAAATATCCATTCTCCTTTATCAACTCTTACTCTTTCTTATTATATCACTAATTTTTATCCTGTTAATTCTTAACAAAACTAATTCTAATCAAACTTTATGCTTGCATTTTTGAATTGATCCTCTTAAGTTCTATGAAATTATTCCTCTTCTGTTAATTTATCCCATTCAGCTTTAAGTCTTTATTATTCTTCTAATTCTTATTATTCTCTTAAATGCTTTTCTTTTTCCTCTTCTGGTGTTAATTTAGGTGCCTAACAGTATTAATTATTATTACTTCAATTTTTGCATCTTTTTTTGGTTACTTTTTTGCTTTTTTTGCAGCTTCAGCTTCTTCAATTTCTCTTTTCTCTTTATCTGTTAATTCTCTTGGAATTATTTTCCCTCCTGATAATCTTTAATCAAGAAATGCAACTGAGTATTAAAATAAATTTGGATTTGCTTCATCAGTTACTTTCCATTCTTCAGGAAACGAGAATACACCATTTATAGTAAAATTCATCTTAATATTTGTTTTTCTAGCTGGCATTCTATCAACAAATTTTTACTCATTCATAATAATTATTATAAATAAATATTTTTTTAAACAATAGAAATATTCTAATTTCTCAAACTAATTAAAAACAAATTCAAATTAGTTTAATCAAATATCTTGAATCTATTTCTTGATTCATCAGTTATCTTTTTCAAAATAAATAAAATCAAAATTTATTTACTGCCTATTTAACTGAAAATGAATTACCAATGTTTTAGTTATTCAAAAAGCATATATTCTCTTTTAGTTTAATATTATATATTATTATTAAACTCCTATATTCTTTGTTAATTTATTTAAGAGCAGAAAATATTAAACTAATTTGTTAAATTTAAGAATCCTAATCCAGATAGTTTTTGAACTAAAGTAAAAAATTTCTCTTTAATAACTTATAATTCATATAAAATAAATTGAGAAATAAACGTGCTTGTAGTTTAAGTTGAATTTTTGTTTTTAATTTTTATATTTTAAATAAATTAGAATAAAAAAATATATTATTTCTTTAAAACTTTAAAATAAAAAAAAGTATTTCTTAGTGTAATAATTATTTAATTATAAAAAATAAAGAAAAAAATAATAAATAATAATTTAAAAAGAAAAAAAGTTGTTTAGAATGCATCCTATAAATATCGATGTTAATCTATTTTAAGGAAAATAATCATATTCAATATTAAAATTTTAAATGTAAGGAGATTGATTGATTAGAACTATAATAATAATAATCTTTTCTTAATTAAATATTCTTTCATTCTATATTTAAAATAACAATACATTTACATTAAATAACTTTAAAGAAATAAACTAAATCAATAATTATTGAACCTAAATTGTCATATTAAAAGGAATATTATTATATATATTATTACTTTTTTTAGATTATTTTAAATTTAATCATAGGAATCAGAATAAAATTTTCATTAATAATTCAATTACTTTTGATTGACGATATTTTATTTTAAATCTAATATATTGTAATTTAATAAAATGAAAATATTTTAAAAATAAGAATAATATTGTAATATATGTATTTATATGTCTTTTCCTTGAAATCATATCAAGTTCAAGATATTTTTCATTTTTGATATTTTGTAATCAAGTGAATCTTCTTGCTTCCACTCAAAAAAGTCAAAATCAACGGCTTTTTAAGTTTCAAGTGTTTTCAAATGTCTTTATTTATGTATGACAATACCTAAATTGCATCATTGTATTGAACGATTTTTATTTAATTTCACCATCTAAGGTAGAAATAAAATGCAAGGGACCATTACAATTAATTAATATATTGTCCATAACTTTAAAATCAATATCATAAATGAGCACTTTTTGAAATTTTTGAAATTTAATTTCCAATAATTATAAAATTTGAATAATTTCAGTTTCTAAAAGTGTTTATGATCTACTAATAGAGTCTTCTCTCAATCTTAATAGATATGGAAAGTTCTCATTTTCAAAATAATCGATAGATACTCCAATATTTTTTCTTGAAAGAATTTATCTACATACCTAGTAATCCCTTTTTAAAAATGAGAAATAAATTTCAAATGGATTATTTGGATTACAATTAAGTTGATTTAATGGTTGATTGATAATTTCAGGATATATATTAAACATCATTTATGCGAATTAGAATGTAAATTTAGATAAATAAATATGTTTTTATTATTTTCCGAGTTTGTAATATAAAATATCTAAAAGCTTAATAAGATGTGATTCTTAAAATAAACCTATTTAATATAAATTGCTAGCAATATGCAAGTATTATACATAATCTTAGATTAAGATAGTAGTTAAATTATTTGTCATTGCATCACAAGCTTTAGATGACCAATATTGATTCTATCTTCCTAATTTGTATAGGCAATGTTAAATTGAATGAAATTATTTAAGAGTGATCTATTCTTCTTAATCTTTTAATTATTTTAAAATAGTTGAAACAATCTTTTCATCATCAAGTAAAACATTGCTCATTGCCAAGAAAGCTTAAATCAAAGTAGGTATATCCATATGTATATCTTCAATACGATCCCTAATTTAAATCATGCAATTTTAAGAGAATTCTTTCACAATATTGCCACAATTCCTTCTTTCATGAAATCCTGCAATGAAAATCAATTTATACAGGAGTTCATCATTTGAGTCATTTTTCAATTGAGGAGCTTGAAAATAGCTAGAATTAGTTATAAGATGTTTGAATAATTCTAAAGGAGTGGCAAAGTGATATTTATTTTACAAAAATATCCTTGCTGTATTAAATATAGGATTGTTCATTGTTTTTGATATTTATAAATAATTGTTATAAACTTAATTATAGATAGTAGTTAAAATTTTATATATATCCAAATTCATCTACAACATCATAGTTTTTTCATACTAGAACTAATAATAAATTTAGCCTTAATAGGTGAGATAAATTTGGGAGAAAATACAGGAACACTCAATTAAAGATCCTCTTATATAATTGTTCTTTAACTCATTGAATATGATCTCTAAAAACTATTATTCATAGATGATGGTTATCCTGAGATCTAAGATTCATTTTCTTCTAAAATGATTGATTGTTATTTTGATAATTTATTAACTTCATTTAAAATTAATTCTTTTTATGATTCTTAGCTTTTTAAACTTTATCTCCTCTTCCATTCTTCATAATAAGGATTAACTTTTTTTTAAGTTTTTTCTACTATTACTGATTAAGACAATTTTTAATCGTATTATTTCTTTTTTTCAATATCATAATTTATTTATTAGATTTTCGTATCTTCTTATTTAATAAATTATTAATCAATTGATTATGTTAGATAAGCTGGTAGAATGTTAGTATATTTTGATTCTTCTTTTTTTTATTATTCTTGCTATTATTATTTTTCAAGCCATGCTAAATAATAAGGGTTTGTTAATTTTTTTGGAGCAGAAACCAAAATTTCACTTTAAGTTTTTCTATCTTCATTTTTTTCAATTCTCAATTACTCTACTTCTGCTTATTGTCTTTTTAATTCATCAATTTCTGATTGTTTCCACTGTTTTATAAGTTTCTACTATTTCTATTTTTAAATCATCAGTATTTCCTATTATGTTGGAATAAGTAAAAATTAAGATTTAACACTGCTAGTCATTGATTGATTTAATTTGCTCATAGATTGATTAAGTCGATCTTCTTGTTATGGTGCTTTAGGTTTTACTGATTATGATTTTTATTAATGCTTTTTTTCAGGATCATTTTTTTATGGAGTATTTTTTTACGATTTATTTGTTATAATTGATTACGAAACATTAGTTGATTTTGAACCTAACATTGATTATTATTATTAACATTATTATTAAAGAGGTTTGTTCTCTATTATTCCACATTTATATCTCTCTAATGTATATAATGCTGATTAGCTATGTTTATGTATTGCAGGATTGAAAAATATCTAAAACCTAATCAAAATATTATACATTTTCTAAATCTCTGCCTTTATATGTATTTAAAGGACCTCTTCCTCCAGGATGTTTTTCTATGAAATCTGACAAATCATAAACTGAGTTATGATAAACATAGAGTAATCTTTGTTCAAACTGTTATACTTATCAATATTACCTATTCGATTTTGATTGCTCTACTTAAAAAACAGCAAAGGAAGGGTATGTTTTAAAACTTTTATTCATTTTAATAAAAATTATTATCATAAATCTTCATAATAACATACAATAATTACAATCTAAAGATTTAAATTTTAGTTTATTATGCTTCTCTCAAATCTATTTTTATTCATATAAGATTTCAAAAAAAACCATAAAGAAATAGTCAAAATCATTTAATATTAATATTTTAATTAAAAAAAAAGAAAATAACGCAATAAAAAAATGAAAATCAATCTAATTCTTATGATCATGATTTATTTACAATAAATGATTTCCTAGAAGATTTTAATGGATAATAATAAAAAAGATTTTGATAATTTAAAATGCAAGCATTATTATTTATAAGTTAATAAAAACTTATCTAAATAATTATTAAGATGAAATAATCAGGAGGGTAAATTAAAAAGATTTATAATTTTAATTAAAAAATCTTTTGATATAATGGCAGATCATATTTTAAAATAGAAAGCAATTTATCAATAGAAAGAAAGTTAGATATATGATAAATAAAATTAACTCTTAAGAGGGAACTTAAATTGATTAATATTAAGTAAATTTGTGAGAATGATAATATTGAATTAGGATAATACCTATTATATAATAATAATTAATTTTGTAATAAAATATTTAATTCAAATACCGATATGATGTGGAGATGTGAAATTTAAATTTTTATTTATTTATGAATCCATTGAGACCTATAAGAGTATAAGAGGCATACAGGTTTTCTTAACTGGGTGTAAGCCAAACCAATTTCAAATTTGGTCAAATATTCTTTGAATCAGATAAATATATAACGATTAGAGAGACAGCCCCAAATGGAGACACACAATTATTACAATTCAATTTTGAGACAAAGCAATTGATTTCTCGTAAGCCAAACAAGGCAGATTCTGCAATAATGCATCCAGAAAAGAACATCATAGCTTTGAGGGCAGCAGGAGAATAGCCAAATTCAACAGTAATCTAAATCTTCAATTTGGATGAGAAATAAAGAATAAAGAATGTTGAATTGAATGAGCCTATAATATTTTGGAGATGGGTGAACTTATAGAAGTTAGCATATGTTACACCAACAGCAGTATATCATATCAATATTACCAATCCTGGTGAGCAACAAGTAAAAGTGATGGATAGGTAATATTTAATACTAATAATAAATAAGATCTGGAGCATTATCATCAGAGAATCCAGTTTAAATAATTGGATATGGATTGGAAGGAAATGAGAAATGGTGTGCATTATATGGTATATCAACACCAGATGGAGGTAGAACAATAAATGGACATATTCAACTATTTTTGATTGAATAAGCAAAGTAATAAATATTGGAGGGACATTGTTGTTGTTTTGGAGATGCTTTAATTCATACAGATGACTACAAAAGTAGTTTATTCTGTTTTGTGGAAAGAAAGTCTGGTGAGACAAGTAGTAGATTACACATCTCAGAAATAGGAGTTCCACCTAATGGATTCTAAAAATTTAAAAGATAAGTTGAAGTTTAAACTGATCCAAATTATCCAACAGATTTTCCAGTCTTAATGCATATTAATTAAAGATATGGATTGATCTATGTAATAAGCAAATATTCATTTCTTACAGTCTATGAATTAAGCACAGCTAGTTTAATATTTAGAGAGGTATTAATAAATTGATATAATTTAATAGAGAATCTGTAATGAGAATGTTTTTGTAGGTGCCCCAAATAATACTTAAGGTTAATATCATATCATAGGTAAGGAAGGAATAGTTTACACAATCTCTGTAAATGATGATTAATTGGTTTCCTATTTGATTAATACATGTAGACATATCCCTGAAGTTATTCAATTAGGATTCCGTTTAGCTAGTAGATATAAACTTCCAGGAGCAGAAAATATGTTTGTTGATCAATTCAATAAAGCCATCTTATCTGGAGATGCTTTAAGTGCTGCTAAAATTGCTGCTAGTGCACCTGGAACTGTTCTTAGAAATCCAGAAAGTATTGCTAAATTCAAATAAATGTAATAATAACCAGGATAACCTTAACCTCTTATTGTTTATTTCTAAACACTTTTAGAGAAAGGTACATTGAACAAGTTTGAAGCTATTGAATTGTGTGGACCTATTTTATAATAAGGAAGAAAATAATTTGTTGAATAATGGATTGCCTAAAATAAATTAGAACCATCTGATGAATTAGGAGATCTCTTAAAAAGATATGATGTTAATCTAGCTATTCAAATCTACAAGTCATCCAAATCATATTAAAAATTAGCATAATGTTATATGGAAACAGGATAAATCGAATTAGCTATGCAATTATAATAATAATTTGGTGTGTCTACAGATTATATGGCTATGCTTAGAAATATGTTGATGTCATCTCCAGAATAAGCTCTTGCCATGGCTAAATCTTTATATCAAAGAGATCAAGGTATCAATGTTCATTAAATTGCTGAACTCTTTGAATAATTCTAAAGATTACCTGAAATGACTGCCTTCTTAGTTGAATGTATGAAGAATAATAGAGCTGAAGATGGACCATTATAAACTAAAGTTTTATGCTTGAATTTATAAGCTGCTGCTTAAGTTGCTGATGCTATATTATAAATGAATATTTGGACATAATTTGATAGAATTAGAGTTGCTTAATTATGTGAATAAAAGGGTCTCTATCAAAGAGCACTTGAAAATTATTCAGATCCTAAAGATGTTAAAAGAGTCATCTTAAATACTCATGCCCTACCACCTGAATTCATTGTCAATTTCCTATCTAGAGTTGATCCTGCTTTAACTCTTTAATGTCTCTAAGATTTATTAAGACATAATAGATAAAATTTATAAGTTGTTGTTAATGTTGCTGTTTAAAATAATTAAAGATTAACTATACCAGCTTGTATTAAAGTATTTGAATCGGTAAGCGCCTTTGAAGGAGTCTACCTATTCTTAGGATCATTAATAAATACAACATCTGATAAAGATATCTATTATAAATACATTGAAGCTGCTGCTAAATGCAATCAAATAAAAGAATTAGAGAGGGTTATTACAGAAAAAGGAGATTGTTATGATGCTGATAAGGTTAAAAATTATTTAAAAGAATAAAAATTATCAGATCCAAGACCACTTATATTCTTATGTGATATGAATGGATTTGTTGATGAATTAACAAGATATCTTTATAAAAATGGATTTACAAGATATATTGAAATTTATATCTTTAAGGTAAATCCAAATGCTGCTCCTGCAGTTTTTGGTACATTAATTGATTTGGAATGTGATGAAGTTTACTTGAAATAATTATTATACAATATTCGAGGAATGTGCCCAATTGAACCAACAGTTGAAGAATTTGAGAAAAGAAATAAACTTCGAGTTTTAGAATAATGGCTTGAAGCAAGAGTGACAGAAGGTAATTAAATTCCAGCCATTCACAATGCATTGGCTAAAATAAAGATTGATACATCTTAAGATCCTGATGGATTTTTAATTAATAATCAATTTTATGATGCTAAAGCAGTTGGTAAATTTTGTGAAGAGAGAGATCCTTAATTAGCAGTTTTAGCTTATAAGAGAGCTTGGGGACAATGTGATTAGGAATTAATAAATTTGACAAATAAAAATGAAATGTACAGAGTGTAAGCAAAATATTTAGTAGAGAGACAAGATGTTGATTTATGGGCTGGAGTATTGTAGGAGACAAATCCTCATAGAAAAAATTTGATTGATTATGTAATTTAAGCATTATAAGATTCTAAAAATGTTGATGAAGTGTAAGCAGCTGTAAAAGCATTTGTATTGGCTAAGATTCCTTATGAATTATTAGGTTTATTGGAAAAATTAGTATTACATAATCCTGAATTTATGTAATACAAATAATTATAAAATTTATTAATAATTACAGCAATTCAAAGTGATACAAGCAAAGTTTTAGATTACATAAATAGATTGGATAAATTTGATCCATAAATAATAGCTTAACATTGTTTAAATGAAGAATACAGATTGTATGAGGAAGCATACGCAGTTTTTAAGAAATTTAATTTACACATAGAAGCAGTGAATGTATTACTCAAAAATTTAGGAAGTATTCCAAGAGCTCATGAATATGCTTAATATTCTAGTTCAAATGAAGTATGGTCTATATTGGCTGAAGCTTACTATGTATAAGGATAAGTAAATGAATCTATAGATTGTTATATTAAGGCTAATGATTCAAGTGCCTTTTTAAATATAATAAATGTAGCTGAATAAGAGGACAAATATGAATTATTAGTTAAATATTTATTAATGTGTAGATAAACAGTAAAGGATGTAAATATAGATAATTCATTAATTTATTGTTATGCAAAATTAGACAAGAATTTAGATATTGAATCTTTAATTTAATCAAGCAATTCAGCAGATTTAATTAAAGTGGGAGAAAGATGTTTTGATCAATAATTGTATGAAGCAGCTAAGATAATGTTTACAGCTCTTAAGAATAATGCTAGAATAGCATCATGTTTAGTGAGATTAAAATAATTTAATAAAGCAATAGAGGCTGCTTAAAAAGCTAATACATCAAAGACATGGAAAGAATTGTGTTTTGCTTGTGTTGAAGCATCAGAATTTAAATATGCATCAATTGCTGCATAAAACATAATTATTGTACCAGATATGTTGGAATCTCTAATTAAATAATATGAAGAATATAACGCATAAGAAGAAATGATGATCTTATTAGAAAATGCTTTAGGTATGTAAAGAGCTCATGTTGGTATTTTTACAGAATTGGCAGTTCTTTATTGTCATTATAAATAAAAGAAAGTTATGGAACATTGTAGATAATATTTCTAAAAGATGAACATCTTAAAAGTTTTAAGAACTTGTGAAAAGATGTGTCTCTGGAGTGAAGCTGTTTACTTACATTAACATTATGATTAACCAGATAATGCTATCAATATTATGATTGAACATTCACCAACTGCATTTTCACATGATGTTTTAGTTATGTTACTCTAAAAGATTACTAATACAGATTTGTATTATAAATGTATTCTCTTCTATCTTGAAGAACAACCTGAATAAATTAATGATTTATTAAGAAGCATTCAATCTAAAATTGATTTAAGCAAATTTGTTAAACTTATGAAGAATACTGGTTATTTGGCTCTT